AAATGAATTTAAATCCACTATGTTGGGATATTAAATATGCTATTAAAAATATATTGAATAGGTGACCTGAGACTTTTATACACTTTTCATTTACATTTAGTTATATCAGATATATTTGATTTACATGAAAGAGAAAGTATATGTAAAACAAATTAAAACATTCTTCAGAAAAAAGGTTATTCATACTTTTATTAAAATGATTTTTGATTTTTTGACACATCAGCTTTTCACATGTTTTTTCTCATGAGAGCCTATTGACCCTGGTGTTATGTCAAGTTTACATGTATTTCCTCATTTCTTCAATAAACAACTCAATCAAAGTATTTTTTTTAATCAGTACATTTCATTTCGAAGATTTATTCAATCAATAGGTTTCATTTCGAAGATTTGGTGAGTAAATTGGCTTAGGGCAAATCGCCTTTTGACATTTAATGTCCCCTTATACGTAAAGTTACCTAATAAAAACACAAAATTCATAACAATATGTAGGTTATTTGTGGTATTGAAAAAATGCAAATAATCCTGTTAAATGAAAAATATGATACAACTAAATACAAATTTAAGTATCAAATAAATATTTTGATGAAACATGATTTCACAGCTGAAGCCATATCCATTGTTACATTTTATATCTGCATAATGATGGTGATCATGTGGGAGATGTGTAATAGAAGTCATAATCTTATAATCAATATGGATAAACTATATCATCATTCCCTTTCTCACGTTTTGTCCCCTGGAAAACTGACTGGGATTAGAGATGGGAACAGTCTTCCATAATGGATAGGGATAGACTGTACATGGTGTCTATAAACTCTCTTCACATTACATACACAAGTAAAACCTTGCATATTGAACATTTGTTTGCTGGGAAAAACATTTATTATTGGTAGGTGTTCACTGCAAAGAGGGTGCAGAAGTTAGTAAGGTATGTGCAGAGAAAGGGTGTCTACTAGAGACAGGTGTTCACTAGAGAGAGGTGTTCACCTAGCCACGTTTTATTGTAATTATAAGGAGACTTTATGGACACCCTGTATCATTCCCCCTTGCCCCATTCTCTGTCTTTTTTCTCAAACACTGACTTTAAGAACATTGATATTGGGAGAGATTGAGTGCACATTGAGTATTGAGTGCACATTGTGGAGCCTGATCAACATGCTCATTCCTCAAAATAACTCCATCAGTTTAATCCAAAAAGCAAGAGGAAGGGGAATGCTGATGAAGCATGTCAGTTGCCAAAACTGTTACAGCGTCGATGATGTTTTAAAAATTACCCAGTAACCACATTTCTTCTCTTACCATAAAGGTAGAAAACAAGAATAGATATGATACGACAGGCTCTTATAAATCAGCATGTTAATTTGTAAAACAACATAATCATGGGTATTATCAAACTACTGTAAAACCAGTCTAAAGAGTATACTTATTGGATCAGCTATGTCTTTAAACTGCTATAGGTTTATATTAAGAGGTTGAGATAAATACCAGTCTGTGTAATGTAGAATGGAAAATGTTCATAATTTGTGTTGTTCCTTATAGAAAGGTGTGTAGAGAAGCAGGTGTATAGGACTATAATAAGGTCAATAATGTGGCTAAACATGTGGTTGGTGTATTATACACTGATTGTGGGATGTTTATCAATACCAATTCTCTACCTAATAAACTACAGCACAATCTGAGATAACTACTTCCTACGTATATCATCAACTATTGTTGGTCTATTCAGAAACTTTTGTAGTTCCAGTTTTCGTAGTTCCGTCATTCTTCGAATTATTTATCTGTCTGAGGTCATAGTTTCCATTCTTATATTGACATTTTAGAATTTAATAAAGGCTTAATTTTCTAGGTACTTTAAAACAAATATTTACAGTAATAACATTTATTTCTGAGTAGCAGTCGTAATCTTAGGAATATTCCAAAGAGGGAGAGTAGGGGAAGGGGAGATGTTTCGGAGGCCTCTGAATTTCATGTACTTTACTTTTTAATTCCTCGTACATCACTGCATTGGAGGGAGGGGGGTTGCTTTTACTTTAATTCAACCATTTCTTATATCCTAGTTTCAACATATACCTGATTACAGGCTGATATTTATGAGGAAGTTATAAATCTTTATATTTTTTAAGCATTACTTATAATAAATCTTGTTCAATATAGTTAGGTATAAATACACAGTAAAATACAGTGTATTCATAAAATCAAATCAATAATCTGATTCAGACAAAATTCTGACTCTTATCCGACTGTTATAATATTAGTAGAGATTCAGTCAACATAAATCTTTAAAAGAGTATTTCAGCGCTTGCTTTGAAAAATATGAGGGGAAAAAATTAAAAAGTGAATCTTGATAAAAAGGTGTGTCTTCTAATATAAGCTATTTACGGGCTATTTTCAAAGTTCAACTATAACACAAGCTGTTCTGAAGTACTTAACCACTGAAGCTTGACTTGAAATGCTAACATAAAAATAATTATCATGTATTCAGTGTTGACAATCTTTTTTATTGTTTCAACACTTTTTTTAAAAGTTAGAAATTGGACAGGCAATATTAGAGATATAGAGGTTCTTGTATGAGTACCTGTGTAAGATCGTCCATTCTTGATGAGCTTTGATAATTCTTCTTTATCGAGTCAAAGACGAGATAAAGAAAAGCCCGATTGTTATGACGTCACAACTTATTTTTGTAGAATGAGCATGGATACACATAGCAACAGTATATTCGTTGTCATGTTGATGATGTTTATAAACAAGTGATGTCATAAGTAAATCTCATCTTGCATGTGTGACTTTTTAGGATGAAAGATGGCAATATCTTGCGTGGCTGTATCTTTGTTAGTCATATGAGAAAACAGTAGTTTGACATATTATAGAAATGTTTGGCAGATGTTATCTCTATATAATCCATTGAATAACAATTATTACACTCATATATGAAATCATTGTTAACCCATTGTAAAAATTCTGTGAGCATAAAATACAAAAACAAAAGATGCTTTAAGTAAATGATGCCACCTATTAAATATGATATCCATATGTTACAATATGGTGTAATTTAGAGTGTTTAATCGATTGATTAATAAGCATTTTTATCTATCCTCTGGGAATTTTGTTTCAAAACATTGCAACCTGCATCTGTGACATAAGGGCAATATATGAGTTGATTGGGAAAATTGAAGGGAGGTAAATGAACGGTTAGAAGAAAGGAGAAATTGAGAGAGGTAACGGATAAATCAAAAGGAGGGAATATTCTACGGAATGAGTAGAGGAGGTTTGATACAATATAAGATGAAAGGATGAAAGTGAAGGAGTGAGGGTCATACCGTTGTAAGGAAATATGGGAGACTGGGTTAATAACAAGGCATGACATCAAGTTGAGAAGTGTCTCCTTTGGGAGAAAATGGGATATAATTAATGTTAGTTGATGGATGCTGTGACATCACCTTGCATCAGCTAAACCAACATTTAGTTGAAGTTCACAGGGTATAGAAAAACCACCACATCCATATGTATGACAGTTTGGCTAATGAGTGGCCATTTTGAAAAAGGACACTGATTTTCTCGAAATTTTATATGTGAGTACATATTTTGAAGCATATAACTATCGTGTGACAATTTGGCTAATAGCCGGCTTTGCCGAAAAATGGCAGCTATAGGTGTTTGATGAGATTTGCTGCTCCTTGGCATTGCTCATATATCAGGTGTCCCAAAAAAAATGAGACACTTTTTGCCAAGTATTTTCTCGGCAACTAATAAACCAAATTCATGGAGAATTTGTACAAATTAGCCTGATAGTATCATAAGCAAGTTGTACAAATATAAAAAAGATCAAGTAAATATTATGCAAGTCATAAGAGATTCAAAATAGCATGTCAAAAATCCCCATACCGGAGCTCTGCACCGAGAAATACTTGGTAAAAACTGTCTCATTTTTTTGGGACACCCGATATAGTTATGATGCAGCAAAGGGGAGCAAGATTTACTTGAAAGGCCTTGTGATCATTAAAAGTCTTTGCTGACATGAGTGGTATGAATGAGCGTCTGGAGAGTGAATGATTAATAAGTTCCTGATTCGATCAAGTCTTGCTATTATTAGAGTATCATTTGACGTCTGCAATTTACAAGTGTCTGATGTCACCTTGATCCTAATATCCGTATTGTACGTATGGAAATCAAGCATTTACTACAAGCATCTGAGCCAACATTTTTTATATTTAAAGTAAATATATTTTCATGTCATTTTAACTTTTTGGATAGCAGTATTATATTTGGTTCATAACAGTATATTATGAGTAAATACAGTATATAATCTATATTCACTGTGCTCTTCTAAGTAATGTTCATCAAAGAAACCTCATACATAGATCCTAAATGCTCTAGAAATGACGTAATGTAAAAACATTACAGGCTAAGATTAAGCATGATTTTGTCAATGTAGGTTATTATCCTTCTCAAAAATAGATACAATTTATAAGATATTAGATAATCTTCATTTGAATTGGGTAATAGTTACTTGAAAAATCCCTGATACAAGATAGAATATTCAAAGTTTCAAACGTATAAAACATTTGCAGTGTTAACTTTAGTTCACAAAAATAGATACAATTTATTAGATATTAGATAATCTCCATTTGAATTGGCTAATAATTACTTGAAAATTCTCTGATACATATATAGAATATTCAAACATAATCAACTTTACATTAGAATATACAAACGTATAAAACATTAGTGTTAAATTTACATAAGTTAACTTTAGTTCACTTGATACTGTATAATTGATGTTTCCTATTTTATTTATTTGTTTTTAGTTAATTTTTTATTTCAGAGAAGAAAAAACATGATAAAGCAATTGCAAAACACAAATTACAATACCGTTACATGGAAAACGTACATTTTACAATACAGTATTGGCTACACGTTAGTGTTTAAGAATTGAAAATTTCTTTACTTTTGGCATTTTTTTGTGTTGCTACCTATTAACTGAGTGTGATTTTTGATTTCAGAACCGGATCTCAAGGAGGCCTAGTATAAAATTTGTAGGGAGTGATGGCGTTATTAAGGTGCCAATCGGCAAGTCGTCTCAGGACCCTGAAGGGGTGCGTAACTTCCAGTTTGCCATGGCTAACCTTACAGTTGATGGGAAGGGAAGCTTTGATGCTATACAGCAGAGCAGGTGAGTCTAGGATATCCCTTTAAGTCGGTGTTTTTCTCAAGGCAAAATACATCACAGGACAACTGGACTGACAGGTTCTACATTTTGACCAGTCTTTACCAAAACTCATCGGACATTCGGACCTGTAACTTAAGAAACGTAGCAATCAAGAGAATCTCAAAACCACTCCAACCTATGACAAAATTAACCAACAAAATTAACCAACCAATTGGCGATCAGATTTTGCATTGCAATCAAAAGATAAACACACCCTCCCGCAGTGATAAAATTGAGGTGATTACCCAAGAGTCTTAACAACCAACCAGAAAACAGTTTCTGTTTTCAGTAAACATCCTCCCCTGCAGCCAATTTTACAAAAATAATTTTCAGAATTTCAAGGTTTTACCGTAGATAAACTGAGATTTCAGACAGCAGTCAGACCAAACTTGGAGTTAAGAAATGTTTAATAGATGAGCAACCGGACATAGGCGGAATTTTGTCAGTCAGTTCCCGCATCCCTAATGCTAAAAACGAAAACTGAATAAAACATTGATATTTGTTAATTTGGAAAATTACCTTTGTTTGTTCAAATGCTGCATGGCACAATTGATTAGAGCGCTGTTTTTTGAATTAGTCATGAATTTTAGTGGATCGACAGTGAAGTTTTACCTTATTTTTTTATTTATTATAAAATCATCATAATATGATGAAGTCATAGAGAGAAAATGAAGTAAGCCTGATTCATTATGAATTACAGTGAAAGTCTTTTATTTCCACCATCAGAAGTGGTAATTGTTATCGTCTCCAACTTTCTTATGGATGGTTGGTGTTCGGCATCTGTAAAAAATGGCAGGTTGTGCCATTTTGCATGTTAATTCCTCGTTTCAAATCTACTACCATTCAATAGAGCCTCAAAAACTGAAAATATAAATCTTTTCAAAAAAGCCAAATGAAACATTAGAAGAGTCATATATTACTTCTATTTTAACTTCGGACATGGCTAAATATTGTACTATATTTTAGATATAATGACCTGAAGCTAAATATTGTACTATATTTTAGGTATAACGACCTGAAGCTCCTGGGTAGCATGACTCAAAAGATCACTGTGAAAGCAAACGATGACATCTATACAACCACTAAGCAGCGAATGACCATGGTCAAAGAGGAAGCTGACAAACAATGGTAATTACATGACATACTCAGTGTATGGTTTCACGTAGTCTCCTCTGGCTTTTTTAGTCTTGGCAATTTGGAGCATATCCTATTTATTCAATTATTGCTTTTTGGTTTTTGACAGTATTTATGAGAAATATTGCCCCGTTGAAATTCACTTTTAAAGGTTGTAAAAATGTTAATAAATTGTGCTAATTTCCCAGCCTTATGAACATGTACTTTCCTGATTATTATTCGGGAAACAATCTTTTACAGTATTAGAGTGTAAATATCTGTTTATTAGGTCAATTGCTATCAAATTTTTTAATTGAATTGATTAATTTACATTTGGATTTCAGTGGCTTGGTTCAGTTATGAAATGCAAAACATTTATTTCAATTTTTCACAGCAGTTTATAGAAAGTGATGTTTGTTCACTATAAATCTGATCAGGTTTCACTTAACATATCATTCACGAAACACCAGTTTAACAGGATACAATTGTTAGTTTAATCATTAATAACAAAATTTATGATGTATCCGTTTACATTTCTATTCATAATGTTGTGTCCCCATTTGACTTATGCTTGACCTTGTTATCACTTATTTATCATGATAATGATTTGCGACACAGATTTGTGAAAATTATTGGTTAAAACATAAATTATGAATTATTAGAGTGGTAAACTTTGTTTATGTTTGCACCTTTCTGAATTGAATGTCACAAAATCTACTATGACTTTTTATTATTCAGTTTTTGAGCATTGAAATTGAGTTTATACCATCAGACTACTCTGATTTTTCATTTTTAAATGGCACTATTATCAAGTCCTCACATGGTCAATAGACGTTATAATCCCCATAATTTTGCTTCATTTTCAGTGCCAAAGAAATTAAGATGTCGGGGCAACACATTAGCAAGAAAATTAAGCGTGTTATAAATCCTGCAAGTGTGAAACTGCCAACACCATCATATTCCGCCATACAGGGACGAATCTCAAGTTCGACCCATGAGAAACCGCAACCATTCAAAGGTAGAATTTCTTTATTTGAATTTCATTACCAAATAGAATGAACATGGTTGCACATAAAATTTTAAGGTAAAGAGAAGTTTTGTTGCCATTTATGAATTGCATTTTCTAAAGCTATCAAAATGGCCCTTTTATCATCAAAGTCAAAATCAAAATGATCTCAGAGGAACAGCCCTCTGTGATCACATAGTAGATCACATAGATGAGCTGATGGAATCACCCACTATCCACCGGTCCATCCATCCATCCAATCCATTCATCCACCCATCCATTCATCCATCTATGCATCCATCCATCCGATCCATTCATCCATCCATCCATCCATCCATCCAATCCATCCATCCATCTATGCATCCACCCACCCATCCGATCCATTCATCCATCTATCCATCCAATCCATTCATCCATCCATCCATTCATCCACCCATTCATCCACCCAATCCACCCATCCATCCATCCATCCATCTAATCCATCTATCCATCCAATCCAACCATCTATCCATCCATCAAATCCATCCATCTATCCATCCAATCCACCCATCTATCCATCCGATCCATTCATCCACCCAACAATTGAAACTGAAAAATATACAGACAATTGCATAGTTTTTATAAAAACATATTAACTGATACCATTTATTGATATTATTGTGTATCTGGTTTCAATAAGTTCTGTCAGTCTATTCAAATAAGGCTCAATGATTCTTACTAAAATAAAATTATCGTGACATTGATCATATCTGTCTGCTCAGTGCCTGGATATGACATGTTAAAGTAAATGGATGTCTCAAGTATTTGTATATGTCATCCGCAATAATATAGACATCATTTTAGTGTAAAGTGCTAAATGTAAATGTTTTTATTATTTTAAAATCTATTGACATCCTGTTTTCTCCACTTAAATGTCAAAGTGAATAGGATATATTGATTTTGCCACAGAAGATTTGTAATTGTATAATTACAATATACTGAAATACAATAACAATGTATGGGATATTTGAATTTTGAAAAAAAGGTCCCAGTTTGAAATTTGAGGCCCATTTTCTTTACAATTAGACCCAAAATTAAAAAGTAATACCTAGTAATGTCAGTTTGTGATATGCATTTCTTCAGTTGCCCATTTTATATGGGGGGGGGGGGGCAAATTTTGGGCCCCATTGCATCTTGCCAGCTATCTTTTAATATCTCTTAATATTTTATTTATTCCCCATAATAATAAGTGAGTTGGTACCTATTCAATTGCCTCTGAAAATCCAAACCCCCTCCCCCCAAGCCACTTGTCTACTATATGGTGTTGTAGATGTGGATTCTTTTTATGAGGGTAGTAATAAAAACAACATTATTTTACAGTAACAATGTCTACTGACAGTCTACGGTATTTTAATCTATCTGTAATTATATGTTGATTAGCATTATAAAATAAATAAAACATAAACTAAAAAAAATACATATCTGCTTTAAGATCTTATAATCCACAATGAATAAAGTTTGGTAGGGATATAGTGATGATGTATATTGATAGATAGATTTACACAAAAAAAGATTTTCAAGATGGCTGCTGCGGCAGGAGGTTTTCGCAAAAATCTTAAGTTTTTCACTTTAACCCAAAGTAATAAAGATTACTCAAAACATCTATCCATTTCATATATAGATACAAATATCATATCGATTTTTTGATTTGGGCCTCGTAAAAATCGAAAAGGCCGTCTAATGTAAGATTTCACAATAATTGATCTCTTCTAAGTATGGCGATATTATACTCAAATTGAAGGAATTTTGGAAGAGATCGCAATTATGGTATTGTTTTTCTAATTAGTACCTCAGGAATTCAAAATGGCTGCCTAGAGCAGGCATTTGCTATTGCTTAAAGGTCTTTTCAAAATATGATTACATTATATTCTATTAGATCTTAAACATTGTATTGTCTTTATGGTTTGTGCCTTTGAAACTCCTAAATGGAATATCTGGCAATTTAATCAAGGGTAGAGTATTACATTGTGACATATACAGATTCATGAATATAGTGTTCATTAGGATTTGCTACTCCATGGAGTTGCCGATTTTTATTCTTAATTATGAATTGTTTTATTGCTGGCGTTTTAATGTATCATCATTTGTATTCTTGTACATGTAGAGCAATATTTATTTGAACTGAAATTAACCTGTCTGAAGTTGCACTCAATATCATGTTGCTATGATTGAGATATATGAATTGGATAGTTTATGACATGCTCTAATACTGGATTTATATCTCTTTTAATATCAAGATCAAAGAATAAACAATACTTGAAAGAAAGCTCGTTGAAAATTATTAATAGTAGTAAATAGTAAATATGTACATAATAGGAGTATGGCTGCTCACTGTTCTCAAAAGGATTTTTTTTCAAATTGGTGCAAAATTCTCATTTTCACAATTCAGACTAAATTTGGTCAAATCATGCCAATTTTTCATAATTTTTCTAATTTTCAAGTGGGTGCAAGCTTGTTTTTAAAATCTCAGGGGTGCACTGCACCTATTTGCTTTAATGCTGGGGAGATCACTGCCATAAGCCCCACTTATACATAATTCTGAAACGAACAAGGCATAAGCAAAGTTGACCCTTTATCGACACTATGATTAACTTAAACTTTTTTGTACTATATTCTTAATTTTAAGCATATGGAGGAAAGTCATCTTGACAAAGTTGAGAACCTTATAGCCCCTATTCTCTCTTTAAAAAATGTTTCCGTGAGTTTTGGAAAAGGTTAAATAATCCAATGTGTGATTGGGATAGAAAATATTATCTACTAGAAAATGTGATCTAATAGAAAAGTGCCATGTCTACTTTTGTCAAAAAATGACGCTTTTAAAAGCTTCAATTAAAAAACACACAAACATGTATTTAACATTTTGATGTTCATTGCTGCCTAATAGGATCTCAAAAACTAAATTTGAAATGAGTATTCTCATCTTTTAACAACAACAATAAAATATCCTCTCTTTGCTGCTTTCAATCATCTCATAGTCTTGCATCCAGTTTAATGTCATCGTTCCCATTTGTCTTTCCAAACCAGAGGCTTGATCAAGACTACTTGCTCAAATAACTTCATGTTTAGACCTTATGATTCATTTATTGAAGAAAAGTCATTGTACCTTATTTTCACTAAAATTCAGTTCATTTTCTTTGAAATTTGATTTTCTAGACTAATGAAAAACAATGTCTGGATCATATGATCTTACCACAAAATGAGGATGAAATGACAAGATCACGATGAACTTGTTGCCGTGGCATGTTTTAAAACAATACTATGCATACTTCATACCAATATATAAAAATCCTTTCATGCGAGATATACTGTGTTGACATTTTGTTATGCTCTCCATTTTTGTGACGGCAGTTGGCATCTGCCATTCAGTGTCTGTAACAAATGGCAGGTGGTGACATTTTGCATGTTAATGCCTAGTTTAATTATTTTACTGTGACAATATTAACTGGGTCTAATCTAATGGAAGCTTGTTATACAATGTATTAAATGATTTACACACTATTGTAATTAGAACCCTGGATGTTGAGTGCAGTCATTTAGAAATTTGACTTACATTGCGGTAATCTCATTTATTTCCATCATTTTGCAATTTTGTGATACTTTGATGGTTTGTGTTGTAACATATTACCTTGTCTGTTATATCAAAATTCAGTCTTTTCAATTCATGAACATTTTGTGATAATAATTTCATGGGGGTGAAACCTGTATAATACAGCTCCAGATTCTATCTGGATCTATCTACCTGGTATGAACTTAACATACTGCCAGTAGTGACTGGTAATAGGTGAGCTGTAAATATTGGATTTATGTAGCATACAAGATCCTCATGTCTAACATCATCCATTTTTCATTGAGCCCTAGGCTTCAAGCCCTCAATATTTTAATTATGAATACACATTTAAAGATAAAAAGACCCCTTAATCTTCGGCTGCATTTTTGAACATGATTTTTTGACCGTGAGCAAGATTTAAATCCTAAAAATGAGCTAAATTGTATAAATACTGAATGATACTCGCTGCTAAAACAGCTTAAATATTACGCAGACATATCAAATTCACTTGCTCCATGGCTATACAAAAATACACCCCTAGTCTTAGTTGTCTCTTAAGCTCCTTTCTTTATTACATGATTTGTGCTTTCTTTGCTTCATTATGTTTTTGTCTTGACTGAAAAAATACACTAGTATACCGTATTTTGTTTGGGAGTAAGAATTAGCTCGTAAAGCTACTGTACAATACGTAGCAATTATACAAACACTTATACATGTACAATACACACCTTTCACTTCATGGTGCTTTATTTACTATGTAGGTCATCCTATGAGGACGTCATCTCCCAACTCATCAGTACAAAGCAGTAGTGGCCAAAGTGTAGGGTCGCATGTACAGCGTAATGAGAACACCAGCAGTGGTCATGGTATAGGGGGACCCCATGGTGCACATAGACCTTCCAGTTACCCGTCCTCAAAGAAGTCTGACGTAACCAGTATGCCTTTTAGGTAAGATCATCAATTTAGTTAAGTGCAAGCATAGCAGTGAATGAGTACATGTAGTTCCAGTCAATATGTGTTCCACCTTAGTGTAGAACTTGGAGATTAATCAGTGATCTCCCCAGGATTTTTTCTCAGGCGGGTGCAAAATTCTCAATTTCACAATTTAGACCAAAAATGGTCAAAATATGCCAATTTTCATGATTTTTTCTCTCATTTTCAAGTGGGTGCAAATGGATTTTCAGGTGGATGCAAGCCCATTTTCAAAATCTCAGGTGGGTGCTGCCCCCAAGTCAGTTGCATTCAGATTCAACAGGTTACTGTGACTGTAATTTCAGGGACTGTGTCATGTACTGTTGTTACAGCAGGGATCTTAGTATTTACCATTGTTATTTCAGGGACCGTGTCATCCATCTGTTGGCTTTGAGGTCATACAGAAGGCCTGAATTGCTAGCTAGGCTACATAGAGGTAATTCAGCTCATGTTATACATCTAAACACTATCTAGACCCCATTCTACTTTACTTGTGCTATCATTGGCTAAAGGAGGGGCACTAAATTGTGTAATCCCTCACATTATAATAGCTATGGTACCACTTACAAGCCCATGGTGTGATGAGGTTTTGTTGGTACCTGTGATACATTCATCTTCTCATTCATGTCATTTTAAATCCCTCTTGTATGTCCTTAAATATCAATAAACAGTTTTACTGCTGTTTATATCATTATAAACACTGTAAATGGTAAAAACTGAAGTGGGATACTACTTGATACCCCGCAGATGGAACACATTTAAAAAGTCCCTAATCCATTGACTTCATGTTTATAAACCTCCTAAGTGGAAATCTTTACACCCCACAAATGAAACACATTTAAAAAGTCCCTAATCCATTGACTTCATGTTTATAAACCTCCTAAGTGGAAATCTTTACACCCCACAAATGAAACACATTTAAAAAGTCCCTCATCCATTAACTTCATGTTTATAAACCTCCTAAGTCTCTCTGTGGTCCCAGAGGTGTTTCATTTATACATGTTTTACTTCATTTATCATTTATACATGTTTATATACAAGTATGATACTTGTGATTGTAGATGGTATCAGGGACAGAGATAGAAATGCAGTGGATAGTGTATTAAATTCAGTCGCAAGCCTGAACACTCGAGACAACTCCTACAGCCTAAGTCGCAGTCTCTACCAATCAGATGTCAAACAGGACTGGCCTTTTTACACTGAAATAGACAAACAGCTGCTTAAAAGGTAGTTCCCTGGCCCTAGCAGTACCATTTTTGATGTGTGTCAAAATAGTGTGATGATACGATTAAAAGTTAAATATGTTGCAGAAAATGAAAAGTTAACAGATTTAATTATCAGATATTGCATGCAGCTGTAGTTCTGTACAATAATGTTGACATTAAAAAAATATGTGTTTGCACATTGTTTCAATATTTATCTATGAGTAATTTCGTGATTTGTTTTTGTTTCAAGGCGGTTGAAGGACCTGGCCAAGAAATCTGATTCTCCCGCCCCCTCCCCTACAGCAAGTACTGGTAGCTGTAGCCCAGTCAAGGTGGAGTCAAGTCAAGTTCCTAGTCAAGTGAGTAAAACACCTATTCAATAATAGATTTACAACAGTCAAGGTGGAGTCAAGTCAAGTTCCCCGTCAAGTGAGTAAAACACCTATTCAATAATACATTTACAACAGTCAAGGTGGAGTCAAGTCAAGTTCCTAGTCAAGTGAGTAAAACACCTATTCAATAATACATTTAAAACAGTCAAGGTGGAGTCAAGTCAAGTTCCTAGTCAAGTGAGTAAAACACCTATTCAATAATACATTTACAACAGTCAAGGTGGAGTCAAGTCAAGTTCCTAGTCAAGTGAGTAAAACACCTATTCAATAATACATTTACAACAGTCAAGGTGGAGTCAAGTCAAGTTCCTAGTCAAGTGAGTAAAACACCTATTCAGTAATACATTTACAACAGTCAAGGTGGAGTCAAGTCAAGTTCCTAGTCAAGTGAGTAAAACACCTATTCAATAATACATTTACAACAGTCAAGGTGGAGTCAAGTCAAGTTCCAAGTCAAGTGAGTAAAACACCTATTCAATAATACATTTACAAACCTACTTTAACACAAATGTTGTGATCTCACCCTTGGTGATAAGGTAGTCTTGTGATCTTTACACCCCCCCCCCCTGTAATTGTGGGGTTCTTAACATAAGAACTTGATGATTCTTAGAGAGATCTTTATAAGTAAATTCATAGATGTAAGGGATTGACACATTGACTAGAAAGATCTACAAATTACCATGAACATGAAAGTTTATAGACAAGAGAACATGAAATTAAATCACAAACCTGTGACTTAAGTTGGTAATAAAGAAATGTTATTGTGTGGATTGTGCACAGATTAGAATTAGTACAAGTTTATTGCTCCTGAATATATTATCAGTTTAAACTCTCCCATATTAAGCAGCTGTTCCAATGTTAAACCACCCATGAAAAAATACAATAAGAGTTGTTAAGCGATGCATTAAACTATGTAAATAAGATTTTGTCAATAAAAGTTATATTTAAACCATTAAACAGCTATGACATTTTTGGCCTAATTCCAATAAATGGTCATGTAAGTGTAGAAGAGAGGCTGAGTTGGTCAACCTGAGTATACTAATGTGCTGAAGAAGTAACACATGACCTATGTGCCTCAAATGCCCATATATGGTCAAATATATTATATGTGATGTGCATTGTAAAAGCGCAGCTAAAATGGTCAATCCGAGTACACCAATGTGCCTAAGAAGCAGCCTGTAGTCCTTGTGCCTCCAATGTCCATATATGGTCAAATACATTATATGTGATGTGTATTGTAGAAGCGCAGCTATAATGGTCAGTCCGAGTACACCAATGTGCCAAAGAAGCAGCGTGTAGCCCATGTGCCTCCAATTCCCATATATGATCAAATATATTATATGTGATGTGTATTGTAGAAGCCCAACTATAATGGTCAGTCTGACTACACCAATGTGCCTGAGAAGCAGCGTGTAGCCCATGTGCCTCCAATGCCCATATATGGTAAAATATATTACATTTGATGTGTATTGTAGAAGCGCAGCTATAATGGTCAGTCCGAGTACACCAATGTGCCTAAGAAGCAGCGTGTATCCCATCTGCCTCAAATGCCCATATATGGTCAAAAATATTATATGTGATGTGTATTGTAGAAGCGCAGCTATAATGGTCAGTCCGAGTACACCAATGTGCCTAAGAAGCAGCGTGTAGCCCATGTGCCTCCAATGCCACTGAACACTCATAACAACAATAACGTGCCAGAGAACCATAACCCGCCTGTCAAACCTGCAGACACCAACAAACCTGCCAGGCAAGAGGGCAAGAAAGACTGGCTGAAAGAGAGTGAGAAATATGCTGCATCTTCAACTTCAGAAACCCCGGACTACATTAGGTATTTTTGAGCCACTATTCAATAACTTTAGTAACACTTAAATTCACGCAGTTACACTTTCGTCATTGAAATCAATTTTGCTTTATATATGTGTATTTGAATTTTAAGTTTACATGTATACATACAGTGATATTTAACATTAAATAATTCCCTCTTAAATTAATTTTATTAATAGGGAGTTTAAGCTTGCAATGTTTTTCAAAATCTAAACGTAAACGGAAAATACTTAAACGATGCATTTGTAGGGGTGATTGGTCATATTTATTAGTTGGCATTTTGAATTTATATGCCAGCTTAAACTCCCTATTGTCTTATGGCATCACAAAAAAGTTTTTAGCGGCCTAGAAGCAATAATTTTACTTCTAAAATTTCACAAATCAATACTTCCAGTAATTATACTGCAATTTCCACTGGGGATCAACGTCAAAAGTACAAGATGGTCTTCAACAAAGAGTATGAGGAGTATATGAGAATGCATGAAAATATCGCTAAAATTGTTAAGAAGTTTGGTGATTTTGAACAGCGACTGAAAAAATATGAAGAAGGAACAGAAGATTATGAAGTAAGGCCAAGCAAGAATTTTATATGTTTTACAGCAATAATATTCAAATCGTAATGTAATGCAAGGCCAAGTATGAAATTGGTTGTTTCACGCAAGTTTTCATATTTAAAAGAATTGTTATTCAAATGTTTGAAAGATCTTACGAGTTGAAGAATTTAATAGAATCCAAATTTTAAATGTTGAAAATGAATAATAATTTTTTGATAATGTTTCTCAATATCATATAAAATATGAATATTGTTTTGTATTTAATTGCAGCGTATAAAGAAGCAGATCTTACATGAATACCACCTGAATAAGAAAGACCCTAAATATATTGAGCAAAAAAAGCGCCACGATTTCCTGCATAAAAAACTTGGCTATATAAAGAAACTAATATTAGAGTATGATCAACGTGAGATGTATGAAAACTCTTAGCATTTGCCTAACCAGAGTTTTAGATAGAAGAATGGATGGATGAACATATACTAGATGTTTTCTCTTGATTGTTTAAAATATGAGATCTGAGATACAAGACTGTTCCACTTTTTCCAAAGGAACTTAAACGACACTACATACGATCAAATAATCAAGGGAAAATGTTGGGTAATCACATAGTGCAATGGACTATCGACCAACTACGCCATCTTTCATTGAAAGCCACCACTAAACTACAAATCGTTCTTCATGTTTTTTTCAACTTATCATTATCATCGAGCGTTTTGTATCATCGTTTATCATTTTGTTGTGTGTCATCTAGACTTTTGTAACATCTAAAGTCATAATTCTTTAGCCAAGTTGACCTCCATTCTGATACTGATGGTTGACCTTGGTTAGAACTAAAATTTATCCCACCAAAACCAGAATTTATTTTCTTATCCTTACATCTGCTGTAATTTTGTTCAATGTTTACTTAAATCTCGATTTTTAAATCCCATTTTAAAAATACATGTAGATTTCATTATCGAGAAATGTGCTCGCTCAGCATGGATTGACTGCTGTGCAAGAAGGTTTAGACTGACTGTTTTTCCTTTCTCATTGTACGCTCTTCACCGTGAGGAAGTAAAAATGCTATCTAACCGTTTTAGTCACCTTATTCAACTGAAACCGAATTTTGCTTTAACTGAAATTGAATTTTGCTTCAAAACAGTGCACTACAACATTACAAAAGGTTAATATTAACTTCATTATGAAGTGTAACTATTTTCAACTTCAAAGCGATACAATGGATTTTTGTTTTATGAGTTTCTTTTAAGTCATCCTCCTAAGCAGGTATCCAGAATCCGTACCTCCTTCTTCCCCCCTGCAATAACCAATTTGGAAGCGCCCGATTAAACTGAATCACGTGATCTAATTATGCGCAATGATTTATACATGATTTCTGTCGCAGTGTTGCGACAGCCAATCAGATTGCGAGTTCTTATCTGGGAAATGCTAACTGCTTATCGCAGGGGGTAAAAAGAAAGAATATATTCTGGATTTTGAAGCCATGTGATCGGAGGATGCTTTTAAGTGGGGTGAGAGTCAACTACATTCATATTTGGCTGAAGATATCATTCCATTCCATTACATGTTAATTGTTTGGAGTTTAGAAAAACTCCCATAAAGATTGAATACTGAATGCCATATTGGTGTGGTTGCCAATCGGTGAATTTTAAATGAAGGTAAATATCTGTTAACTGTGACATATAAGTTTGCAGCACATTAAGATTGGCAGCACAATTAGGCTGGCAGCACAGTTAAGCAGTAGTTTTAGTGGTAAACTATATTGGCTGATGGAGTCATTTCTTGGCTCGCTAACATGAAGATGGCTAGTATTATATTATACAGTATATAGACTGGTATGATCTGTTAACATAACGATTAGAAAATAAATATTTCATTTGAATTGTTTTATAAACTGACACATGCAAGGGTATGCCATATATGGTGTGATAGTGATCTTCACTCAATAAAGGATTAGAGTTCTGTACATATTCACTATTATAGTAGTGCGTTCTTAGGGAGCATGTATTGTATTGTGTCCCTGTGTGCCTAGATCCTCCTGGCCACTAGTACATAGACATGCATCTACTCTAGGCATTGGTTCACTTGTTAACGGAGTTTGAATGCCATTTAAGCACGCAGCATATGTCCTCAGATAATTCTGCCATTGAGGCATATGTCTTTGGCATTTCAATCACAGATTTATCAGTATCACAAGTGTTCCTAACACAATCCTCTCAAATCTGACATATTTAATAATATCCGCAAAAATGCTAATCTTATGCATTTGTCGTACATGGTGAGCCAAAAGAATGTGACCCAAACAAAGTATGTTAATAACTCAGTCATTCATCATGGGTTAAAAGTTGTTTAATGTTCTTTCATTCTACAAAGTTTAATAGGTCTAACCACAATGGTCACAGTTAAATGGCCATTAGCAAGACGCCCTCCAAATGGCAAAAACAGGCCACACTCACTGGACATGAAACACCTCAGATTTTAATCGGTGGGGTAAATGTCTACACTAACAACCCTTGAAACACTGGAACAAGAGATGAGAAGGAAGATGTGAGCCATTACACAGGTTGTCTGTGCTCGTGTAGTGAACAACTGAGCCCGAAATGTTCAAGTTAGCCTCCAGACTCGACGCCATCATTATGTAGCATATTTTGTGAAATGGCTATAAAATCACGACCATTAAGGATAGACCAATAAGACTAAGTTAGTAGAATAAATGAACAGTGAACAAGGTTTGATTTTTAGATATGGCCTCAAACTCATGTTGAATGTCTGAGCTATGGAGATTTGTTTGCGTTACCTTTTTCGGCTCACCCTGTATATCTTGCAAGTGTCAGTTTGTATCTCAGGATAGTAAACTTTTGGTCATCTTAATAATGCTTCCTCGATGTTGTAAGCATTTCTCAAAGAAATATGAATTTTGTTATTATTTTAATGATTTGTAGAATGTCCCATTTTCTGATGTTTATTTGTGTAATTATTATATCTGTGAGGTCATTCATAAGTACACAGCCATTGAGCATTTTCGTTCATTGTGTAATTTAACTGTGGATATTCTGATATTTAACTGTTGAGTTAGTTCCCCATGAATACTGATCATATACAGACATCATATTTTGGCTACGATCGTAACTTATGATTTTAACAAATCAAATGTCTTATTTTAGTTGAACAAAGAGAAATGATAAGTTACGCTAGTTCCAAAAACTAGATTTCATTGTCCTTAAGGAATTCAAATCTACTGTTAAGATCTAACTTAAGGCAAAATTATCAACATCTTAAACTCACTGGATATTCTTCAATGGATCTGTACAATGCTTCACATGGAGGCCACATCTCAAAAATATTGAAAATTACTATTTGTAAATTTCAATTGTACTCTAAGCTATAGACATAGTTAGATTGTAAAAGACAATTTAAATGGACCCCAGATCAGTGAAATGGATTCCAGACCAGTGGAATGGATTCCAGATCAGTGGAATGGATTCCAGATCAGTAGAATGAATTCCAGATCAGTGAAATGGATTCCAGATCACTGAAATGGATTCCAGATCAGTGGAATGGATTCCAGATCAGTGAAATGGATTCCAGATCAGTGAAATGGATTCCAGATCCGCGAAATGGACTCCAGATCAATGATTTGGATTCCAGATCAGTGAAATGGACTCCAGATCAATGAAATGGATTCCACAACAGTGAAATGGACTCCAGATCAGTGAAATGGATTCCAGATCAGTGAAATGGATTCCAGATCAGTGAAATGGAATCCAGATCAGTGAAATGGAATCCAGATCAGTGAAATGGACTCCAGATCAATGAAATGGATTCCAGATCAGTGAAATGGATTCCAGATCAGTGAAATGCACCCTAGATCAGTGAAATGGATTCTAGATCAGTGAAATGGACTCCAGATCAGTGAAATGGATTCCAGATCAGTGAAATGGATTCCAGATCAGTGAAATGGATTCCAGATCAGTGAAATGGACTCCAGATCAATGATTTGGATTCCAGATCAGTGAAATGGATTCCAGATCAGTGAAATGGACTCCAGATCAATGAAATGGATTCCAGATCAGTGAAATGGACTCCAGATCAGTGACATGGATTCCAGATCAGTGAAATGGATTGCATATCAGTGAAATGGATTCCAGATCAGTGAAATGGATTCCAGATCAGTGAAATGCACCCCAGATCAGTGAAATGGATTCCAGATCAGTGAAATGGACTCCAGGTCAACCTAACTCAACACTTCTGTTTTTCGTCAGATATTCCACTTCAGGGACTGAACAATCTGCCTCTACTGAATATTACCCATTAAGATGCACAAGAATTCCAAAACACCTTCTTTGTGAAGACTGTACTATAGTATGCATGTAATAGTTTAACAGACAGGATTCAAGATAATGAATAATGCTATTTGCCGCAGTATTGGAATGGTCATAAGAAAGGGAGAAGTGTCAGAAATAAGGATAACATTACAGTGTTCTCAGATCGAATTCCATCATTTATTTCACATGAAACAACAAACAATAATGCAGTATGGAAGATCGAAAACTAACCTGTGAGAATGAATTGCTTATTTGAATTATAGACATTTTTAAATGGTTGTGTCCAGCATGAGAATAATTCAAAGCTGGCTTTCCCAGATATGATAATATCCATTTTGTTTACGAAGTACAAAGTACAATTTTCATCTCTGAAAAATAGCTCCAATTCATGGAGACAATCCTTTAAACTCAGTTTGTAATAAAGTGAAAAGGTCTACACAATTATATTAAGCTTAACAGATGCACTACTACTGTAGATACAGTCTCCACGTAGAAGGTGTTAATTAATTAAGCTCAAAATCTAGTTCAATAGATAAAATCAGGATAAGTTCATATTTGGTGTTTGATCTGTGAAAAAATGACAGGTCCCTAGGTTTATATTCTTAATGATAAGTAAACGACTACATTGATTTCACACATGATTATTTACATTTGCATGATTATATTTGCTTAAAACAACATTTATTTTGTATTAGCAATGTAACAGTATTAGTAGAGATGACAATGTGCTCAATTCAGATAGCTCATGCCAGTCTAATTCTTAGTTAACATGCAATTATTTATAAAAATTTACAAAAAAATCGCAAAACAATGAAACAAAAATAAAAAGGAACAAATGCGTTATTATTTATGTACAGGACATGGCCAGATTGATCGAGAGATATTTGAATGAATTGTTGGATGACTATTGAATTCCACGGAGGTTTCTTGAAGTGTCATTATTGGTGAATGAATGTACACCGTTTGTTTATGTTCAAAATAATATTGGAGTGTGAAAAAATCTGTTATTTCATAATAATTAACTGGAAATATGATATAATTGTTAATAAAATTTGTTGAAAACATTTTTTTCTGGCCAATTAATGACACTTTAAGAAATCCCCTGAATATGCTGCATTCCAAGGTGTTGTCATGGTGACCTGTTGTCATGGCAACCAAAGTATGTAGAGACAACAAGCAGGGATATCTGTGATGTTGAAATATATGTGCAACTGTATCAGTTGAGATTGTTGTACCAACACAAATTGTGTGTGCACCGCATAATCATTTTATCCACAAACCTGTGACGATAATGCACCATTGAAACAATAATGCACCATTGATACATAACCAGAGGACTTTTACAGTATTCTCAAATGGGTGCTAATATCATGTACAATGTTGATGTGGATCTGCTGAGTCATGATTTGAAAACAGAGTAGAGGTTATAGAATATATAAATATACGAATAGTATTGACGCTTATGTATGCACACGGATCATGTGAAAGACCGTTTTACGAAATATTGTACCATGTCAAAATTTTGGCCATGTCCTTCTACTGTTTGTGTGTTATATGTTACAATGCAGTATTCATTAAAAATGAAGCTGCATTTTGTTCAACATGCTTGACTTAATGGTCAGTTATGTTTAAGATTGACTTTATGTGGATCTGCCATTTTAGGTAGAATGACTTATATATTATAGAGGTGTTAACCCATCTCTGTGATCTGACTGTCCAAGGACGTGTGTTCCTATAGCTGTTCCAAATATGGAATTTTAATATAAAAGAACAAAGCTTTAGAGCATTTGCGAGGCCAGGAAAATTTATTTTTGCAAAACAAGTTGGTATTGCAGCATTTCATTACATTTTGACAGAAAAATTTCAAATATTTTGAATTTTGTCAAATGAGTCGTGATTATAGATACAACCATATTTGTGGTTTATTAACAAAAATGGCAAACCAATCAGTTTCAATAATGGCATCATATGAGAATTCTGTCAAAAGTTATCACATGTATATTTATTTATTAAATCATATGTTTCTCTCATTTGGATGTTAACCAACCATTTGTCCCATGCAGAACATTAATTTTCTTGGCCTAGCTAAATTGTCTGACCAGTACCAATAATGCAGTTTGTTTATCTAATTGTATGTAAAACTTCAGAGAGAATTCCAGTACAGAATGTTGACAGTGAAAAGTGTTTTCAGTATCCCAAATTAAGTATCTACAGGGTGAGCCAAAAAGGTAACCCAAACAAACGTATGTTAATAACACTCATTCAGCATGGGTTAGAAATCATATTTGGTACAATTAAACCTTGTTCAATGTTCTTCATTGGTCTACCTCCAACTGTCATGATTTTATGGCGCTTTACAAAACAGGCCAAATGCCAAAATGTGCCACACTCACCAGATATAATCCCACCAGATTTTTATCTGTTGAGCTAAGGTCTACACTAACAGCCCTTAAAACATTGAAACAAGAGAAGACGAGACCCATAATACAAAATGTCTGTGTTCCTGTAGTGAATAACTATGCCTGGTACGTTCAATTATCCCACAGACATGATGCAGTATTTCAGACCATTAGAAATTGACCAAATGAGCTTGGAACAATTTAAGCCAAATATGACACTAAACCCATGTTGAATGACTGAGTTATTAACATTTGTTTGGTTTACCTTTTTTGGCTCACTCTGTATTTGTTGAAAGTAAATTCAGTTTATGATATCTTTAACATTAATTACCTTTAAATGAAAATGTGAATTTAATTTAAAAGGTAGAATTGGAGTTGGAGGGTAAATTCTCCTAAATTTTCATTTTATTTACAAATCTCCAATTTCTATTCAGATGTCCTATTTAAATCTCCTAATTAAATTTTATGTTGAACTGCGCCGCCATTTAACATACATGACATGATTAACTATTATTAATGCCGTTTGAATACTGAACTAGCCATTATAATGTGTGAACTGGTCATCACAATGTGCAGTGGTCTTTACCATGTGTACTAGTCATCACAATGTGTACTGGTCATCACACTGTGCAATGGTCATTGCAATGTGTACTGGTCATCAAAATGTGCACTTGTCATTCCAATGTGCAATGATCATTACAATGTGTACTGGTCATTACAATGTGCACTTGTCATCACAATGTTCACTGGTCATTACAATGTGTACTAGTCTCAACAATGTGGAGACAATGTTCTCTGGTCATCAAAATGTGCACTTGTCATTCCAATGTGCAATGATCATTACAATGTGTACTGGTCATTACAATGTGCACTTGTCATCACAATGTTCACTGGTCATTACAATGTGTACTAGTCTCAACAATGTGGAGACAATGTTCACTGGTCATCACAATGTGCACTTTTCATTGCAATGTGTACTGGTTATCACAATCTGTTCTGGTTATCACGATCTGTACTGCAGTACTGGTCATTACAATATGTAAACTGGTCATTACAATATGTGTCTATGAAATGCTTGAAGTTCTAGAAACTATGAGACTGGAATGTTCTCATAGTTAAAATAAATCGCATATAAAATGATAATTTATTTTCTTCTGTTTGATAACCACATTTAAAAAATCAAATACCTTTGGCTAATTAGCTAACTCCCCCTCCACACAGATGAAAAGAAAGAGAAAGAAATGTTAACCACTAATCGGACTTTGTGTGTTTTATTGTGTCAAAGGCCTACAAGTCAACAAAGCAAGAAATGAAAGGTCGTAATGGTCATTTCAAGGTCAGTTAGTGACATCTTTGTAGTAGTCAATGACCTTGAGGCTAGCCAATGAAAACTTTGGATAGGTTGTACACACAGCTTGAACTATTAACAAAACATGTTTTGTTGAAAATAATTTTATTGCATCTACCCATTTTAAATCTACACCACTGATTCATCAGTGAGCATTGCTAAATGGCACATTGTTTTGCAACCTTGTTTTTCGCCTCGTGTTATTAATACAGGAGCTTAATTCTAAAATACTGGATATCTTGCATGTTTTTTTAATTATTACATGTACAATGATAAAAATCTGATACAATGTCCAAAAAATGGTTAAAATGGTTAAAAGCCATCAATCAGAGTACTGCCTTTGGAATGTTATTTATGGGCGATTAATTCAATTGCCTTTATGTCTGTTACAGCTTTACATATTGGCTGGTTTTTCTTTGAATCCATTTTCCTTCACAATCTGAGTATAAGCTTTGGCTGATGATTTTGCTGTCCTCTTTCTTTCGGGATCGTTAAAATCGACAAAATGTAGACCAAATCTCTCGGCATATCCCATCGCCCACTCAAAGTTATCAACAAGCGACCAGGCGAAGTACCCTTTCACATTACAGCCATCTTGTTTGGTTGCTGGAATTTCATAAGTAGTTAAACCTGAGTAAAGTGAGCATTTATTTCGTTAAATTACGAAAGGTGAAAATGCAAGTACACTTTCAATCATGGGCAATTTTAGCCAGAGCATTTTATAAATTTAATTCTTTAAGTTCATGTACTAGCTATTTTTCAAATCATGATAAAGGTCATGATTTTTTTTTTCATATCAAATATGTTCTTTAAATTTGAATTGGTATAGATCAGAAAAAGATTAAATCTGACAAAGCCAATCAAGATTATAAATATTAATCTGGTATTTTACACAACTTATTTTCAACAAAGTTTATTCAGATTTATAATCAGGGATAATGTTTTCACATCTGTTTAAATACAGAAGATATGTTTCATCAAAATAAATGTAAAAATATTTAATTGATTATTTATGTATATATGCATTATACATCATATCATATACTTTACCTTTCAGAGTTTGGTTGATATAGGACTGATAATAGAAGACTCTCTTTACATCATCAATAGCATTCTCACGATCTGAGCAGCCATTTTCCGTGACAAAAACGGGTGGATTGTTGTAGCGGGTCTTGATGTCATTCAACAGTTGACGCAGACCCCATGGTACCACATAGAGCCATTCTGATCCAGCTCTGTAAAAGAGGGCACATATATTCCATATAAGCTATGAATTTCGTATCTTTCTTATCCAAGAACTTTTTTTTAATTTGCAATGTCAAGGTCATAATTTATTTTTCAAATATAAGGGTAGATGAAGATATAAATACAATCCCATGCTATCTATTTCCCCAGCATGAAAAAATATACTTATGTATAGCAAACTACAGTAAAATCTGTTTATAGTGAACATACTTTATGGAGTTCACTGAGCACAGTTAGTAGGTGTTCACCATGGGGAAAATATTTTAACATGGATTTCAATGGGAGAAACAGATTATGTCAAACAAAACATTAATTTTACTGTAAGGAGTGAAATGTTCAATAGAGAGTAATTTTCAACAACATAGGTTTGACTGTAATGTAGGATAAAAAATGCATCCAACCAAGCAACATGTAATGTACATGTATGATAATATCAATTGCCTGGATTAAATGATTAATCTATCATGTGTATACTATAGGCTTAAATATGTATCATAAACAGAGCATCCAATCCAAGTCAATTAGATATTTACTAAATAATAAATAAAAATAAAAAATAAAAAAATTAGATATTTACACTGAGTATTTTTAGCATTTTACCTTTCCCATGCAGGGTCTGTCTCTTCCTCTACTGCCCTGTCAGCAAGATAACACACATCAGCCTCACCCCCCTTGTAGCCAGGGGTAGACAGCCTGGTTGTGTAATGGTTCAACCCCAGGTAGTCAAATGTACCTGCAATACAAATTTTCCATCTTGACTATGTTATCTACATGTTTGATATTTCATAGAACATAGATGCATTTGGAAAGTTTGACAATTCAGATAACAAACATCAACCCCCTCTCCCCCATTGTAGCCATTACTAGTATGTAGTAATATGACATACATCTTGTAGCCATTACTATGAAGTAATATGACATACATCTTGTAGCCATTACTATGTAGTGATATGACATACATCTTCTAGCCATTAGGTAGTCAGATGAAATACAATTGTATATGCATTTGACGGTAATGTAACATACATCTAGTCTGCAAACAAGCCTTGGATAGTGCTCAGGTGTGAGATACAATTATCCCAGACAATTATAAGCTTGACAAAAAGCTATATAGGACAACATAAGCCTTATAGCAGCTAGTTGTTTACAACTTCACAGCCTTGTCAATGGTTCAAATGTACCTAATATACAAAAGTACAAGACAAGGGCAGTTTGACAATCAAACACCTGATATCATCACCTGATAAAACAACAGTGTGACCTCATAAGCAAAGGTTAAATAAGTACATCTACATGTAGGTAACACATCAATGTTAAGCAGATGATGATATCAAATAAACTCAATATGCACCATGAAGTTCCATTTTTACTGTATAGTACTATGTTCACGATGAGAATGCATGATAAAGTCAAGGACTAAATCTCAGCCATTTCATTTACATATAATATGTTCTTAACATTGGTTGACCTCATTTTTTATCTGATACATGAGGGATTGTAGTAGTTAGATACTTTTGAATCACTGACTTAAATAAAAGGTAAAATAAGGGTTTTTATTGCTAGGGATCCAATAAATTTGTGTAAAAATTCAGATATGAAAGACATTATGGATAAAGGGGAATGTTCTGTAGATAATAGGGCTAAACTATAGATAACAGAGACTATACTATAGATAACAAAGCATTAACAAATGTAGCCACCTGCCATTTGTTACAGACATGATCTGTAGAATGCCAAACATTGACCGCCAAACTCCATCCACAAAAAATTGAAGACTATCCACTTGTGATGGTGACTTAATAATAAGGACTAGAGAATAGGGGATGGGGAAGAATTGGGGATTATCAAAGGATAATAATTTGTACAAGTCTGTAATAAAATAAAAAAATCATATTATATTTCTGATCTGATTGTCTTGCTTTTACAATTACAACACATACCTTTTATATATTTCACTTCCTCCTCTGTGAATGGTTTCAATCTGGACTCAGAGAGGCCTTGTTCTTTACTCTTGGCAGCTACTTTGTCTAGTACAAGCTTAGGGAAGTTCCCCTCACCAAATATTGCATTGGCAAACCAACCAAGCTTGAACTAAATGAAAAATAAAGGTTTTAGAATTGCAGTTTTGTAATTACACTGTGTAATTAGAAAGTTACTATCATACTCTCACTTCATCTTGTCTGGACCTACTGATATCTACTGCTTGGAAAGTAACTGTAAGCCAGTGATCATCCCCATGGTTTCACAACTGTAACTATGGTAATACTCAAAACCATAGGTGGGAGCTTGTTGGTCATGGCTGAACTAATTCATTTATTTAGGCGCAATGCTATTATGATGTTCATATTAATTAGGAGATCCCATCTTTTAACAAAGTGATATAACTGTCATGATGCAAAATTTGGAACTTGAGCTCCCAGTTAATGTGAACAGCTTAAAAGTGACGCTTATTCTAATTGGTATAAGAAATGTACAATAAAGGCCATTCCTTTTTTGAGTCATCCTTATCGACAGGTTGTGCCAAAATAAATGACCACATTTCGAAAAATAGGCCTACATGTATGCATGTACGAGGCAAGTTCTTACCTCAAATGAAGTGTTATAGGCCTCTTTGTCTGCTTCACTGTTGGGGTCTTTGGGAACAAAACAGTCAGAGTCCAGTGTTATGCCTATTTTACCTGTAACACAACATGATACAGTTATAATACCCTCCAAATTGAGAGCTCCAGAGAGATGATCCTTGTCATGCCATTTGTCAACAAAGGACTCATCATAGATTTAAATTCTGGTCAGGAAGAAACCGATCGGTTGATGTATGGAGCTCTGTGTTAGAAGGACAAGGTATTAATTACAGGTTTTTCACTATCTTTTATATTTGCTATGAAGACACATAATTGAAGAATTGATTACAGGAGCATATTTCAGAAGAAACTTTTTGTACCGTTTTGTTTTGCTCTAAACTCATCATCATAAAGATGCCAAGTTTTTGCATGTGATTTGATGACAGTTCTAGAAGCTTGGTAGGCACTTCGTCCCGTGTCTTTGATCCCTGGAGCATGGAAACCATACTCGTAGCCTAGGCCACAGAAAACATATGGCTCGTTAAACGTCAGCCACATCTTCACCTAAATGAAAAGTACATATGTGATTATCCTAGGGACTAAGTACAATGCCCAGGGGGAAAATTTTGAAAATGGGTCCAAAATAAAATATCCATGGAGTTTTTTGCACAACCCCCTCCCATAAAGATCCACCAGTGAAACCTACCAAAGGTAAGCTAGCTGTAAGGATATATATTGACTTAAGATCTAAAGATTACAGTTATTATGTAAAAAGTATTCTTACTCTATCTCCAAAGCTCTCAAAGCAGACCCGGGCATAGTCCACAAAGTGTTCCACTAGGGCCTCATTTGGCCACCCACCTGCAAAACATGTTATGATAGATTTTATCAAGAGTTCAATTTAACAAATGTTGCAATCCCAAAGAACCCTCTAGAGTCTAGACTGAGGAAATCTCAGTATATTTCAAGTAAGATTGCAGAATATCAGAAGTAAGATTGCAGAATATCAGTAGTAAGATTGCAGAATATCAGTTAAAAATGAAAGAAATTATTATGGATACTGCATTCCATTGGCACTTTTTAAAATTGTGAGTACTAATAAACAGTGCAAAAAGACTCTACTGACCCAAGTCTTGCAATGGCTGTGGAAGATCCCAATGGTATAGAGTGACAAATGGTTGTATATTGGCCTCCAACAATGCATCAATCAGCCTATTGTAGTAGTCAATTCCTTTCTGGTTCACTGATGACTTTGTACCATTAGGCAAGATACGAGACCAAGATATAGAGAACCTGTAGTGAGATACCTATGGAAGGAGGGAATAAAAGGATTCATAAATGTATGAACATGAATAGAATGACAATAGGCATTATGAAAAACAATGATATCAAAAACACAAATGGCAAAATCCAGAAAACAAAATAACAATACACAAAGTGAATCATAGTCATCTGCTGTTAACTTATTCATATAATGTGTTGTAATAAACTTGCATTAGTTCCAATGAAACATTATGTATATAACTAGTGCTTAGTACTTACACCAAGGTCTTTTAGGAGCTTGACATCCTCTGGGTATTTATGGTAGCTATCACATGCAACATCTCCAGTGTCATTGTTTTCTACATGTCCTCCTTCGTGACAAAATGTGTCCCAGATATTAACTCCTTTCCCTGTAAATTCAAGCAACATACAGTATAATCTATTGGACAGTCAATATTTCGACATTAAAGGGGACGCAAAATGGTTGACTTACCCTCTCTTCATCTAATCATTGTATGAGTATTGAAGTTTGAGAAGTAAAATTGGTAATTTGCTTGAATAATAATGTTTTTGAAAAGTCTGAGTTCCAAATTGTCTCTTATAAAGTCATAGCTGATGAAGGAAGCTTTTCCAATTTCTCCATTTGACATGATTTGAAATTCTTACCGTCTTTATCCCAAGCACCCTCTATTTGGTATGAAGCGGTGGCACATCCCCAGACAAAATCTTTTGGAAATGTGTCCACTAGAAATTCACCAGCCTCTCTTGGAACTTGAACTGACATTGTGCTGAAAGATGTACCAATAGGCAGTATAAAGAGGGATCCTTGCAGTCATGGGCGTAGCGCCCGGTACGCTGGGTGCGCACAGTACCAGATGGTTGCAAATTCGCCCCAAATACAACCAAATTTCAAAATTTTCAGACCCCCTGAATGCTCATTTTTGGATTCACTCAACTCCTGTTCCTGTGGTGGTGGCGTACTACTTAGAAAAATAGCGCTACGCCCATGGCAGTGTTTTCAAAGATGTAAGAACATGTAGTCAAACGAACACTAAGTTTTCTATCAGAGGTGTCCCTGGATATATTTTGTCATGTGAATGATTGATCATCATCACAAAAGTACACATCTGATGATTGTATTAAATTAAATGACTAAGAGGGCTGTGAATGCTCCCTGGCTATTACAACTTAGTTCTCAAGAGCAGGCAAGCTATGACACAGGCGGCCCTGGGTAATGAGAGTGTGGAGCCTCTCTGAAACACAGTGTTTCTGTGTTGCAGGAATGCCCCTCACTCTTATTACTCACGGTGCACATAGTAGCTGAAAAGAAATACTGAACATTAGGTTGCAAACCACAATTTCATGAATATAGCTTTGAAGGTACTGGTACACTGGTACAGCGATTTATTTTCTAGATATCTGTGTCTCTAGAGATAGCTAAACTGATTGTCATCAGCAACATCTTATTAGTATATCAATCCTTCTGCATTAGTTTGCAGTCCCCAAAGTTATAAGTTTGGTGGAAAAATAAAAATTGTCATTTCCGGGTTTCATGAAAAATGCGATTATTTTGTAGATAAAGATATGGCAACTATAGTAAACTTACTCTAACTTACCTCTTGATAGGTGTATGTGAGTTGATCTATAATACACCGTGTAAGAACCTTTGGACTCTGAGATGTTTGACTTTGAAGTGGTTCCTAAGTGTCTGTCTACTTTTGACCTACATTTCTACCGGATTACGTTTGCTGAACATTTACAAACTTCCGGTAGAATATTTCCTCGCTAAAATTCTGGTAAGTTTGTTCTTATTTCCATTATTTCAACAACGGTTACAAAATAAAAGATACAATAGGACAAATGAATATTTGATTTGTTCCTGTTACATAAAAACAAGCTAAGTAATGTAAACATGAAATATTTCACACTTTGTCACTTTGTGACTCAACAAAGACGCTGAGTTTTTCTTTTTCACTATTTCTAAAAAGTTAGGCTATTATAGTAAGCTTATATACGTGCTGTCGAACTGTCCTGCAATTTGCGTATTTGTCACACATTTGCGGAAGAAATTGGAAGTCACACCCACAGAGCTGTCAAGTGTCCCGCGAATGGCGGGATTATCCCGCGAATTCGATCAAAATTAGGCTAATTCGCGTGTCCCGCAATGTCCCGCGAAGTCCCGCAAATGTGGCTTTCGACCTCCGCGAATTTCCGAAATTGTTGCAATCCCCTATATGGTGATTATCTTATCTTATATAAGAAGCTAAGTTTTTGCACTTTTGAGGAGTAAAGTTTACCTAATTTTAAGTACCTAGCATGCTGTTGTTTGGTATCAAAATAAAGAGGAAGGGTTCAACTTTCATTTTAATTACGACAATAGGGATGTAGGTCACAAATAGTTCCAACGTTGGCCTTTTTACTATCCGTGTGGCCTTCATCTCAGAACTGAGCAAATGTTAGCAAACGCGAGTTACAATAAATGGACGCTGATATCTAGAAAGGGTTTGTAGAAAAAACCGGGTACCGGTTAGTAAATCCTCCATGCTGGGTTCAAACTTGGTACCCGGTACCCGGTCAAAAAACGGGTACCCAAAAAATGAAAAATACGAATATACGAGTATAACATAATTAGATTATCAGAAAACGTGTAAGATTTGTTTTGAATTTACAAAAATGTATGTAACATCCTTCAAAATTGAGCTAGAAGCTTCAAATAAAAAGCATATTTTAAGGCTCTTTTCTTCCTCTATCGTCATGACCATATTTTCATTGGTTATGTTCACGTACCAACATACGAACTCATTGAAAATAGAGTAAAATTGATTTGTCTTGTTATTCAAATCGTCTTACAATGTCATTGGCGTAGCCAGGAGAGGGTGTGATGGTGCGATCGCACCCCCTCCCCCTTCATTACCAATGGAAATATGACCATGATGATAGAGGAAGAAAAGAGGCTTAAAATGCTTTTTATTTGAAGCTTCTAGCTCAATTTTGAAGGAAGTTACATTTTTGTAAATTCAAAACAAATCTTACACGTTTTCTAATGATCTAATTATGTTGTATATTCGTATAAATTTCGTTTTTTGGGTACCCGGTTTTTCGACCGGGTACCAAGTTTGTCTACGTAAATTTTATTTATATTATTAATTGCATTACATTTACATGTACATATTTATATTTACATTTACATGTACATAAATAAGAATGAAGGAATAAAAAAAAAAAGTTTGAACCCAGCATGGAGGATTTACTACCCGGTACCCGTTTTTTTCTACAAACCCTATCTAGAAAAGTAACCTCATTCCCTATAATTTGATGTAGATTAATCGAACCCCTATATCATGGGCTTTCAATTGAAAGCCCATGCCTACAGTATGGTAGTCAGGGGCAGATCCAGGAACCAACAAGGGGGGGGGGCCCAAATTTCAGGTAATAGAAAAAAATTTTGGGCCCCTAAAATCCAAAAGTGGGCCCAAATTTTGAAATTTTGAGGCCCATTTTCTTCAAAATTTGGCCTGAAATTAAAAAATAAGGCCTTAAAAGGCCCAGTAATGACCAAAAAGGCCGACTTTTTGGGGCCTGAAGGCCTTGTTTGGCCCAAAAAATTTTTTTGGGCCCAATTTTTTTTTCTGGGCCCACCCAAGGGGGGGGGGGCCCGGGCCCCCAGGCCCCCCCCCCCCTAATCCGCCAGTGGTAGTAGTTGGTCACGACGCCAGAAGCAGAGAAGTGCAAAGTATTGTTCCAAATTTTTGAATTTCTTGTTAGATTATGATACTCACACCTCAAGCATGGTTTTTGTTTTTGATAAATTACAATAAAGTTTAATAATATTTCTATGCGTATTTTGTGAAATTATGTTGACTTTTATTTAAGTTACAATGTAACGGTGCATTATATTTGATTAATCAGTATCTGAAAGTTTGATTCAAGTACTTTTACACGCTTTTACATTAGTCCAAATCATGCAAATCCCTTGAATGTCCCGGGACATCCTGCAAATTTAGGTGGATGTCCCGCGAAATCCCGCAAATTTAGGGCACTTTTTCTAGAAAATCTGTCCCTCTATGAAGTTTTTGCTAGTAAACCTGTTAACTGTCCCGCAATTAGGGTGTTTGTCCCTCGAATGGTCCCGCGAAATCACACGAATTTGATAAAAAAAATTGGCCTATAAGCGCAATCACGCAAATCCCTTAAATGTCCCGCGAAATCCCGCGAATTTAGTAGATGTCCCGCAAAATCCCGCGAATATTGGGCACTGGGTCTAAAAAATCTGTCCCGCGAGAAAATCTTTGGGGGTTGACAGTACTGCACCCATTTTTTGCGTGACACAATATGTCGAACGCAAATATGCATACACATTTTTCTGATTATTGTCAAGTAAAAATATTTCAGAAGTACATCAAAAGAACGAACGCTGAAAACAAAATGCTGATAAAAATGAACACAGCTGTTTCACTTATATTTTACAGAAAAATATTTTTAAACCGAAAATATGAAGATCGTTTTACATTGGGACATTGCCTCACCTGAACTCTTATCGCGAATAGGAGTATTGCAGCATTTCACTTAACAGGAAGGGGAAGGTGGGCTGTGGAGGGTAATTTCACCACCTGTCCGAAATTAGTTCTGTTTTGATTTCAGTCAAACTAAAAGTTTCATGAGTTCCATGCAAATTAAAAAATATGGCTTTTTCCCTGAATTTGAAATTAGATTTGATATATAAATGTAATGAGGTGATGAAGCAACCCAAAAGTGAAACAATATGATGTCAATGTATTACTTTAAGTCTTGATTATGCACTATAGCTATTATTAAATAGTTTCAGATACTATATACAGGGGCGGATCCAGGATTTTGTGTTAGGTGGGGCGTGTGATAATAACTGTGAGCGAATTAAAAAAAAAGAGTCAAATTTCGTAAAAAGTGATTAGGCAAAACACAAATTTTCCGACTTTTTAGGGGGACGTGCGCCCCCACGCCCCCGTCTAGATCCGCTGGTGATATATATGCTTCTTATAATATTATGACGAGATATCAAACATTTGGGTTATATCAATATACATGCACAGTGTATGTACAGTACAAAACTTTGAGTTTGAATATGTAATTGTAATCATTTTGTTTATTGTTCACTTTAGGTTAGATTTATGACCATTGACTCATTTTACACATCTACTTTTATATCCTCATGAATTCTACCTTTGAAACAGAAATCTTAGTACATGTACTATCTATTGAATATATTACCATATGTAAAGCATACAATAGAATTAATCTTTGTTGGAATCAATAAGGAAGATATTGATTTGAGGTATTACTTGTATTTGCCAAGAGATTATGTATTTATCATTGTGTAACTTTGAGCTGTTCAAACAAGTGATAAATTAGTTGATTATATTAGCATAAGAGTATGCCAGCATTTGGATACATCCTCCGAGTGCAGGGCTCTGGACAACTTCCGCTTTGTTCTTTCCTTCTTCCACAGTTCCACTCCAACAATCTTTCCAGTGAGTCAGTATTCAAGAATACTATTAATATTTTCTTGAGTTACCATTACAGGAGCAGAAGACTTTATTTTTATTTTTTGGCCAGATTTCGAACTACATTGTACATGTAAATGTAGGTAGGTATGTGTAAACTAAACATTTTAAGCTACATATCTTGTATGAGCCATATACCAACCATATGGTATAAGAAAGAAACCTCATGAAAAAGTCAGTAGTTGTCAATGGACTTGGACTTTAATTTCCATACAAAAAAGCCTATTCATACTTTTGATCATTTTCAGCCAGCTGGAGTGATAACCAAGCAACAAGAACAACGCAATCATGTATGGAATGAAAGTAAAAAAGCATAAGGTGAAGAAACACAAGCACCACAGGAGAGACTCTAGCTCCAGCAGTAGTAGCTCAAGCTCAAGTTCAGATGATGACCATTATAAGAAAGAGATGAAGAAGCAGAAGAAGCTACAGAAGAAGCAGATGAAACTCATGAAGAAACATGTGAGTTAAGTGGTTATGGTAATCTTAACAGGACTTTTATTCAAAATATTTAAATATTGATTTCAGTACATTATAATGTTCTATATAAAACAAATACACAAAAATATTTCCAAAACTGAGTAAGCAGGTCAGTTGAATTATTTAAAGGGTGAATACGTAGACTAAAGCCTTATGAATCAGAAATTAAAATTAGATTTAATAAGCAAATCACTTAATGATATGCATCAAAAAGTTTTAAAACTAAAAAAATGAAATATTTAAGCAAGGGTTACATTAGAATTTCTCACAGCAGGCAAAATAATGGAAATCATAAACTTAACATGGAAAAGTTGAAAAGTTTCAAAAAAACAACAGGTGATTTTGTGAAAACAAGCAGTGAAAATCACACGTTGCCTGCTGCTAATACTCTGTTAAGAGTACAGCTAGTCAAATAGTCATAAGCAAAATAACTCAATATCCCAAACTTATCTAAACTTATCTAACTCAGAAATAAGCAGTGTTAGAATTTTATTAGATGATCCCTGTCTATTTTTTTTATATGTTGCGTGTATATACTATAAATATGCCTTATATTCTCTTTAGGGAGGTGTTTTGCCACCAGGTGTTCAGCCCATAGTTGTTCCAGGACAGGTAAGAATATTTAATTTACACACATGTATTCTGTAGTATTAAATTAAGTGTATGGTGATGTAGGGTAATAATTATATTTATAACATACCTATGATGATGTGTAGTGTAAACTGTTCACAAGACAGCGGGCCAATATAACTTTTAAAAAGCCCACGCCCGCTAACTTTCTGAGTGGTCAAGTGCTGGGACTTCTACGTCATACATTAGGACTAGGTCAAATTGACTCGTGCATTCGTAAGATACAAACATGGGCATACATCATCATTCCCGAACCATTGCTAGTCAGTTAGATAAGAAAACGGTACTCTCTGACCAGACTAGATCATCATAGGTATGTTATAAATCGTTTATGTCACTATAGTTTCACATATGCCCTCGGTTCTCAGTGATCAATGTCCCTCCCAAGGTCGGGCCATATATCACTGAAACCCTTGGGCATATATGCAACGATAGTGACATAACCTCTAATTAGATCTCCTTCCTCCGGGCCATGCCCTGATAATACAGTGGCTGTGCCTTAATGGTAAATTTTTATATAATGTTGTCCTGGGGATGACTCTATGATCCTGAACCTCACAAAGGAAATTTATATATATGCCTTAGCAGAAGAACAATTTTGAACGATTATGTTTCAGCATCCTGGTGGTTACCCTGTAGGTGCCTCAGCCTACCCCACTGCATCTTACCCTGGTGTTCCACCCCCTGGTGCCCCTCCCGCAGGATCATACCCCATGGGTCAGCAGGCATATCCAGGGGGAGCACCTCCTCCAGCTAATTACGCCCCAGGGCCAGGTTATCCTCAACAAGGTAATTTTTATGATAATCCATTTAAAGTTTCATTTCATTTGTTTTCAAGCAGTTGGTGGTTTATTGTAAGTCTCGAATGCAAAATAAACCTGCAGTATGAAATCAACAAAACATGCCTTAGGAAATGGAAATCAATGTTTTAGAAGAAAATCTGATTTACTACTTGGAATACTGTCTTCATCAGTGTAAGATGTATTGAGTGAATATTAACAAATTTGATCTACCTATATATATTCATGATTTATCTAGCACTGTAGTGTGTCATTCATTCATTTGTCAGTTTTAGACTGGAACCTTATTGTTTAAATCATACAAGTGGAATCACATATTCCCATCCATTATTTTGAAACATAAGGTAATGGCCATTAATATTTCCCAAAATTGACCAGTGTTATTCAAACATTTTTAGCTCCAGGTACTGCACCTCCATTTACTGCTCCTGGTCAACCCCCTGCAGCTGGCTACCCATACTCTGGTCCACCACAAGCTCCTTACCCCCAGCAGCCAGGTAAGTTCTTGCACCATGCCTACACACTTCATTTTGTCAGGGATAATTATCCCATCGAACGAAGTTCGGAGGGATATAGGGAACGCCTCCGTCCGTCCGTCCGTACGTACGTCCGTCCGTCCGTACGTACGTCCGTCCGTCCGTCCGGGCAATAACTCAAATACCGTTGGCCCGATTTTGTTCATATTTTGTACACATATACCCTATGGGGGTAGAAGTTCTGCTTGAAAGCCGATTTTCAAAATGGCCGCTCATTTCAAAATGGCGGCCATTTTAGTGCCGAATTTACAGTAATTTAGGTGCAATATGTAAAACTGTAATAGCAATATGTTTTAGATGTAAAAAAATTATATAGGACATTAATAAAGCTAGAAATGTAGATATTAAAGAAGCACATGGCAGCCATCTTGAAAAATGGCGGCCTTTACTCGTTATTTTACGATTTTTGCTGTAACTCGAAAAGTAGTGGAGCGATTTTGTTCATATTTGGTATGTGAATACTGTAAACATTACACACTGTCTAAAGACACTTTTGGTAGAAAGTGGCCATTTTAAAAAATGGCCGCCATTTTGAAAAATGGCCGCCATTTTAACCTATTTTACTATAACTCGAAAAGTAGTGAAGCGATTTTGTTCATATTTGGTATGTGAATACTATAAGGATGGCACACTGTCTAATGACACTTTTGGTAGAAGGCGGCCATTTTTCAAAATGGCCGCCATTTTAACGTATTTTACTATAACTCGAAAAGTAGTGGAGCGATTTTGTTCATATTTGGTATGTGAATACTAAAAGCATGACACACTATCTTATGACACTTTTAGTAGAAAGTGGCCATTTTGAAAAAGATTTTGAAAAATGGCCGCCATTTTAATGTATTTTATAATAATTCGAAAAGTAGTGAAGCGATTTTGTTCATATTTGGTATGTGAATACTGTAAGCATGGCACACTGTCTAATGACACTTTTGGTAGAAGGCGGCCATTTTTCAAAATGGCCGCCATTTTAACATATTTTACTATAACTCGAAAAGTAGTAGAGCGATTTTGTTCATATTTGGTTTGTGAATACTATAAGTATGGCAAATGGTCTAATGACACTTTTGGTAGAAGGCGACCATTTTGAAAAATGCCTGCCATTTTTGCTATATACTTTGTTTGTAAAAATGCCTTCCATGGCTGTTCGATGGGATTCGCTACGCTTTGGCGTTGCCGTTGTTCTGGTTGTTCCTGAGATATGTTTGAATCTCGAGACCACATGGACACAATGATGGATGACATGAGGCGTGTGTGGTGATTCATTTTGAGCAATATTATTATCCTGATATCATAATGCTAGTTATATGGAAATAATTACTTGAAACAAGATAGAATAATTTATAGTGTTAGATAAAATACTGTTGCAGTAATAACTATGTTTGTATTGGTAAATTCAATATATCCCATATAACATCCTAAACAAAAAGATTTATTTGCTTTAGCATTTGATAATTATAGTTTAAGTAGATCATTTCTTGTGTATTTTTAGTGAACTACACAAATAAGTGTGATAAACATTTTCTAAGTGGCACTTTAAAGTATCTCTGATATTTTTCCAGGATACAGACCTCCATATTGAAGCATCCCAGTAACACTGAGCAGAGACAATGCAATATATCTTCCATGCAACATAAACCACATACAAATATGCAATACATATATGACTCAGCTTAAAGGCTCCAATTATGCTCACAAACCAATGAGAGAATGATTATGCTCCCATATTGTATTTAACATTGTGCTCTCTCTGAAGAATATTTCATATTGCATGATACTCATTCACCCAATCATCCTAAATAGACAGTCACGCAGTAAAAGAGCCATTTGGTAAAAACTTTGGAGCATAGACTGTTTCAAAATGATAACTTGTACCAGGACACACTGAATTCTGTGCAGAATTTTAAGCGTGCAGACAAAAACTGGAATGTGAAATTATAACCTAGCACTATCAGGCTACTAAAAATATTTTTAGGACAATGACATTCAGTGTCATCGTGATATTAATGGTTGTGAGAAAATCAAAAGTGGCCTTTCTGAACTGGCTAAGGACAAGAAACTCCAGTTTGTATCTACTTTGGCGAGGAACAAAGGAAGATCACTACTTCCTTATATGGGCACATTTAGATACCGGATTTTCTCGCATATACGCCCCCCTAAATTTAGGCCCATGGGCCAAAAATCGAATGTAGTATGCTTATACGCCCATGGGCCTATAAAAAAATGACTATTTATTGGTTTTTTCAATAAATTTTGTCACTGGCAGATCATTCTGTCGTTACTTTGTTTCAACATTAAGTTCAACGCTGTGCCGTAAGTGGCAGTGGTGGATCGTTCTGTTGTTACTTTGTTTCAACATTAAGTCCAAGGTTGTAGGTGACATTTCCTTTATAATTCTTACAAAACATGCGGTATGACTACAACAGTAGTCTTTTAGGAACCATTGTATTCATCAGCTCTTCTCACCTTTACGCCCACTGGGCCAAAAATCGAAAATGTAGTACACTTATACGCCCATGGGCGAAAAATAAGAGGTAAAATAACAGACGAAATAACCCCTTCTTTCAGTTATACGCCCAGGGCTTATATGCGAGAAAATCCGGTATTTTTGTTTTGTGAGCACCCTGTTACCTATGTGTATAACATTGATTATGGTATATAGCCACCAATGGTCCAGTCATATTAATCCAGTACAGTAACTAATTACAATACATGGAACCATAACTTTAAAACCAATGACATATAGATTACTTTAAAACCAATGGCATATAGAGCTTTAAAACCAATGACATATAGATTACTTTAAAACCAATGGCATATAGAACTTTAAAACCAATGGCATATATGTAAAACCTTTGTAAGAGATAGAACTTTAAAACCAATGGCATATAAGTAAAATCTGTGTAAGAGGAACATCCTTGGTTCTGTAAAAACGTGTTCGACTTGAATAGGGTAATATTGATTGGTCGTGTGACTATGAAATGTTCCTCTCACAGAGTGATTCCACTAGACAGGTTTTCCTATTTTTGGTCTAAATCTATTTGCTTTTACAGCAATTGTTGATGCAATTTTTGAATGTGCAGTACATGTACAGAATATTATTGTAGAGAGACTTCTGTATATTTGTGTAAGATATTTTATATACATGTAAGTACACACTTACTATTGGTGTATATACTGTTGATATTTACCTTATAGATATATTTTCCCAATCTAAAAAACGTTTTTATTACGCCACTTATATTTACTGCTGTATTTTGAACTAGTAGGATGTTCATTCTGGGTCATAGGCTTGAAATAGCTCAAATTGACTCATGTCTTGGGGCTGTGGAGTAGACTTTAATCTTATTATCTTCCTTATTTAGAGGAATTTAAAAAAAGTTATATTTTGTGTAGTTGTGGAAAAAATAACAAATAATGTAAGGGGCAATGTCCAGCAAGGTATAATGTTTTCTTTTTTAAGTGGGCGGGTTGGGGTAAAGTGTTATACCATACTGTTAGTAAATGGTGTACATTTTGTGTTTAATAAGGTTTAAAACAGCAAAGTGGTATCAGCCTTTAATCATGTCTATTTAACAAAATAACCAATACCCTGAAATAACATGTGCTTATATAAACTGCTGAGATACAGATTCAAACATTGATATTATATCCTGAATTTCAGATTTTATTCCTGTTTTGATATATTGAATATTGAAATACACGAGTCTTTCATTGTTACATGTATGTGTGTCTATCTTTGGTATTAAATTACTGATACTTTTATATGTTTTATAGCCTTGCCCAAGTCGGTCTCTTTTACTATCTGATTTCTATTATGACCGCCGGTAATAATTCAAGATCAGAAAAGTAAAAAATACCGACTTGGGCAAGGCTATATGTTTTATATCATATTACAATATTTCTCTAGTATTTAATTTTGAAAAATGAAGGAGTTATCGCATGTTGAAAACTGAGATTTGTAAAAAACTACTTGTTTGGCAAATTATCTCATCTACTCTGACATACTTTTTTAATGACTGACCCAATTTTGTCATTTATTGACAGAACATGCCAACAACCTGTTCCTGCGCTTGGTGTATTTTTTAGTACCAATAAATAAATAGAGACTGATATTATGATAGCTTCTGCAGGCAAAATCAATAGAATTTAATACATTTTTCAACATGTGATTACTTGGTCTGGTAATGGTTATGAATTGCCTTTTATGTTTATTTAAATCGCAATACATTATATTGTTTAATGAAAATAACAATAAATCTATATTTAAATCTATATGACATGCTATATGTTATGTTAAAATGCTTGGATGGAAGTGCCGGGGGGTGGAAGCTTATCAGTGGCTCAGAAATTCTCTTCTTATACTCATCTTTTTATGAGCTTATACTGCAGTTGTTTATTATTATACAGGTGTACACAGAAAAACCACCAGCATGTGCTTTTCCTGTTAACTCTGTTTCCGTGTCAATGGGACTATAAGGAAAATCCTTTTGTAATGCCATATTTAGTGTTTTCAGTTGATGGCTCCATTACCCCCCCCAAAAAAAATGGCGTTGAATTTTCAAACTACCCCCACAACTACTTGTGGAGTTGAATTCTTGGGGTTGAAAAACTTGTCAGTAGTTGGCACAAAGATAGCCACTAGATTAGTCTAATCCTGATCCAGCTTATTTCCAACCCAAAGATTTCAATACACAAGTCGTTTTAGGGGTGATTTGAAAAATCAGCCGGACATTCATGGGGGTAGGTTGCATCGGTGCAATTTTCTCAATAATTGTATGTATTAACATTATTGCGTTAACCCATCCATGGGTTCATGACCCGTCGCTAAAGCTACAATCTTAATAGAATAGGATGTTAACCGTTATTGAAATTAATTAAATACCTTGGCCTTATAAGAAAATTTATTTCGCTAAAGCGAGATAGCGTCATTTAGCTGTTCTCTTGTAGGAAATGTAAAACATGTTTTCAGAATTTTTTTAATTTACTCAAATAAAATCAATTTAACTGCTTTTAGACTAGCACAAACAGCCCAGAATAATGGATAAATCACCGAGGAAACTTGACAATGTGAAATCTTCGATCAGTGTAGTGGATCTCAACAATGTAGTAAGTTGAAATGATTTCTTCTGAATTTTTTACTTTCATCATCATCATCATCATCATAAGGACGTAGTGGACTAAGCCAGTAATGTCGTCCTGTCATTACTTAAACCAACTGGCTTCTCATTTCATTTAACAAGACCAAAACAAAAGAAACCTATAGCATATAGTGCTCCCTCTTCCAGTGATCATCCATCCTCTTCTTAAAGGTTTCCAGGGTTGGCGCACATACTGCTTTCTCAGGCAGGCTGTTCCAGTCTGCTACCACTCTTTGGGAGAAGAAGTGTTTTCTAAGATTGAGCCTAGATCTTTCCTGATATAGTTTAAAGTCATGCCCTCTTGTATATCTCACTGTTGGCTGATTAAAGAATATGTCTGCATTTACTCTGTCAATACCATGAACAATTTTAAATACCTGGATCATGTCCGCTCTTTTCCTTCTATATGTCATAGAGTATAGCTTTAACTGTTTAAGTCTTTCTGGGTAAGGTTTATCGTTCAGTCCAGTGACAAGTTTTGTGGCTCTGCGCTGAACTCTTTCAATTTTGTCAATGTCTCCTTTAAATCTTGGGTTCCAGACTGTATTGTTATATTCTAGGTGGGGTCTAACTAAGGTCTTGCAGAGCTTTATGAATATGTCACTATCCCTATATGTGAGTGTGTGCTTCATTGCTCCTAGGATCTGGTTTGCTTTATTTACACACATGGATACCTGTTTATGGAAGTTCAGTTCGTTGTCTATTATGACTCCAAGATCTTTCTCCTCTTTAACATTTTCTATTTTAGTGTCCTTCATGTAGTAGAGGTGTGCACTGTTGGTGAATCACTTAATCGATCAACAAAATATTTTAATCGATTAATCATCGATTAATCATTCTAATATAAATGATAGAGATCTGACATAATTTCCCCAAAATTTTCTAATTCTTTAGTAGTAGGCGATGATTTGATTGCATACCTCTATTGAATAAAATATATCAATAAGATGTATCAGAAAACACAAAAACAACAAAGGTAAGCGTCTGGCTTAGGGTAATTAGTTTGTTTGGGAGTTTGAGTTTTAAGCTTGGCATGTCAACCTGACAAATTAGGTCTCAATCAGTCAGTGACATCATATAAGCTTACTCATGGCAGGATACTGAAGATTATCTTTTTGAGAATCAGTTAATTGAGTATTAAGAATCTTAATCGATTAAACTTGTGTCGATCAATTAATCGAAGATCGATTAAAAATTCACACCTCTATCATGTAGTAATCTTTGTTGATATTCTTGTTTCCCAGATGCATGGTTTTGCACTTATTTTCGTTGAATTTGAGCAGCCACCTAGCCGACCATCTCATGAGGTTGTCAACATCCTCCTGTAACTTTTTGGCATCTTCGTTGCAGTTAACGGTGGCATACACTTTGGTGTCGTCTGCAAACATCTTGATTGTGTTGTATACTGTCTCTGGGAGGTCGTTTATATATAGTATGAATATCATCGGCCCGAGCACAGAGCCTTCGGGTATACCACTGGATACTGGCTTCCAATCGGACAGTTTATTATTGATCCGAACTCTTTGCCTCCTATCTAGTACAAATGCCTTTAACCAGGCCAGTAGATTCCCATCAATTCCAAGTTTTTCCAGCTTCTCTAGCATTCTGTTATGTGGCACGGAGTCAAACGCCTTGCTAAAGTCAAAATATATGCAGTCCACTTGCTCTCCTCTATCGAGTATACTTGTCCAGTCCTCTAGTACTGTCAACAATTGTGTACAACATGAACGGGAGGGGGAAAATCCATGTTGATCATCTGACAAAATGTTGTTTGACACCAAATGGTCCAACAGGTCTGCTCTCACCAGTGTTTCCATGATCTTACATGCAATGCATGTTAAACTGACTGGGCGGTAGTTAGATGGAGATGACTTCCTCCCTTTCTTAAAGATAGGTGTCACTACTGTGTCCTTCCAGTCCCGTGGTAATTCACCCTGTTCCATACATCTAGTGTACAGTATGGCAAGTGGAGAAGCTAACTCCTTGGCAGCTTCCTTGAGGACCCTTGCTTGTATCCCATCTGGGCCGGCTGCTTTGTGGCTTTTTAAGTTGCGAAGTTCGATTTCCACTTTTTCATGGCTAAAAATAACATTCTGTATTTTAGTGACATCTTTAGGTATGACCCTTGGAATATCACCTTCCTCAATTGTGAATATTGACGAGAAATACTCATTTAGTATATTTGCTTTCACTTCATCATCATCTGTTGTCCCTCCGTCTGGTGTGTCTATAGTGCCTATTCTTGGTTTAGTCTTTAATGTCGAGCTTACATATGACCAGAAAGCTTTAGGGTTCTGTTTAATGTTTTTGGCAATATCTCTTTCAAAATTTTTACAGAGTGACCTGCATAGTTTCTTGGTCTTGTTACTCTCCTTCCTTGCTCTTACATAGTCTTCATATTCCCCAGTTAGTGTATATCTTTTCCAAGCATTTTGCGGTTTTATTTTGGCAAGATGATTTGGAATTGTCAATTATTAAATTAAACTGCAATTAACTGTGTTGATTTTGGATTTTTGCTTTTCATCATTACACACAGATTGTGCATTTGCTGCTGTGCAGTTTTGATTTCACAAATGTGTAATCGTATGGACTAGAGTACATAGGGATGTCCTCGGAAACAAGGCATTGTTGGATGATCTTCAAGAAATCTTTGTTTTATATGATTTCTTTCTTAAAACTTTAAATCTGACACATCGCTTTATCAATAAGATGAAATTATAGATGTACATGTATATTGTAAAGGGTCTAACAGTGCCTCAGATTTTCATTTGATGCCAAAGGTTTGAGTGGGAATGCACCATGGCCGAGAATGCCCCTATGTACTCTGTAGCTTTAATACCAAATGATGATATCCTATTTGGGTTATATTATCAACAACTTTATAATGACCCTATTACCCTAGACAAACTAAAAATTTCCACCTCTCTGATAAGCTTACGATAAAAATGTATTTATGAGTAAGATTCGAGAAAATCATACAGTACTTCTCACCCCTAAATTGCTTCATTTATATGTACTCACTACCGATTCTTTTGCTTTCTTAGATGTCTGTTCTATAGAGCTGAAAATTATGATTTCTCTCATTTGTTTCAGGCAATTGTTGCGATGCGTCCAATTGTACGGAAGGCAAAGGTGCAGGTCATACACAAACTAACCCGCCAGATTGAACAATATAAGAAACGAAAGTAAGTTAGACTTTGATACCACACAATAGTCAAAAATATTTATTTATTGAAGGAAAAGTCCTGAAGGAAAATACTGTAAAATTGTAATTTTAAAAATATTTAAAATATTTACAGTATGGCTAATTAACATGTACAATGTATTCCAGGGGTACTCCAGCTGTAGTTGATGCATATAGCAAAAAAGCTGGCCGACTTCTTGAGGAGATACAGATCATAAAAGTAAGGGTATCCTATGGCATATTTATACAAATCAATGTTCGATTCACTGTGCACAGTGTGAACCTTCTTCTTGTATTTTCTTGTACAATTAGATCTGAGTCCAAATATGGAGAGATATATTGTGAATGACTAATGTGTAGGTGTTTTGTTAGACCCTGGACCCCCCCCCCTCCCTCCCGATCACTCACAGTTCACTGTCAGGTGTACATACTAAACATAGTCATGGGGGGGGGGGTGTTCATGGTCTTGGAGTAAGACTAGTGTTGTTACTTAATACTTATATAGTTACTGTACCATACATGTATTCAAATTCTGTACTTTTTTCTTTCCAGCAATTCAAGCCAGATCCCATATCCATCCATTCTTTCGCTTCTACAGAAACGTTTGCTCAGGTTGCCAACAAGGTACAGAAATATAGAATATTGATTCATTCAAAAAAAAATTAGATATAAGTGTATTTTATGCCAATGACTCTTGTAAATAAAATGAGTCATTGTAACTACAGTATTGACAGATCAAGATTCATATCATGAATTGATCCATCTCAAAATGTTTTTTTCACTCTAAATAGTAACTATGTATTAAAATTTACTTTCCTATGATTGTAGACAAATTCCATGTAAATACAGTTTAAGCTATAGCACCTGTTCATTGTCCCCATTTAATTTAAATGTAAATGCTTAATGAACTTTTTTAAAATCTTCATTTTTGTCCAAGAAATTACACTCATCTGTCATATTTCAGGCAGAAATCAGTCTCAAGGAGCGAGCCCAAGCAAGACTATGTGACAATAAACTGATAAATGATAAGGTAACAAAGTTCCGGAAAGAGCATGCAGATTGGAAGGAACTGGCGGGATTTCTCCAAACGCGAGTCACAAGACGTGGTAAATCTAAGACTAGGAGAAACCGTATAAAACGACGTAAGGAGAAGGGACTTACAACAACTAAACCAGAGTCAGCCTCAGATGGGACAAAAACTGATTCTAAACTTAAATCCAGCAAAAAGGAAACTATTAAAGAAAACAAAAAGAAACCTAAAAGTATTAATACTTCTGCTGTTGTGAAAACTAACAAAAGGAAACCTGAGGTGAAAGAGAAAGGTGATAATGTCTCTGATAATTCTTCACCAGAATCTGAAACTGAAGGATCAGACTCTAACATCGATTCAGATGATGATCGTGAAGAAGAAAATGTTGAAACTGATGATGATGACGATTCAGACATTGAAGACATTGACTTAGGTTCTGAGGAAAATACTCCAGAGCTAGATCTTTCAGATAATGATACACCAATTTCCAATCCTGTTAAAAAATCAAATTCAGTGACCTCAAAATTGGAATCTGGACCAAAATCCTTAAAACGTAAACAGGATGATACTAAAAATAGTAGTACTAAACCCCCAAGAAAATTTGACCCAAATATGGCCATAAAAAGAATTAAGTTACACGATTTTAAAGAGGATGACACTATCAAGCTTGAAAATAAAAACATATCTACTGATCGTCAAACTAGTGGAACTAAAAAACGTAAAAAGGATTCATTTTTTATGATAGATGGGGAAGTATGTTCTGATGAAGAACTGTCTAATGAAAGCAACATCGAGAAAGATAGTGATTCAAAACGTTCAATGCTGCTAGACTCAATGTTTGTAGATTCAATTGGAACACCAAAAAAGAAAGTGGCAGTCAAAAAGGAGAAACAAACTCAAAAAAGCAGGTAAATAATAAATGTTGTGAAAAACAAAAAAATGTTTTTCCTCAGTTCTCATTCATCATTGGTAGATTGTTCATTGCGACAATATAATACATTCTTTAAACTTTCAAGAGTTAATGATAGATACTGATGTAACCATTTTGAAATAATCCAATCAATATTTTAATTAACTAATTAAGCAATTTTTAATTAACCAACTACATAATATATTACACATGACTTACATGTTATATGTTTCTCCTCTGTCAATTTTAAGCTTTATTATGTCACCACCAGAAAGTGTTGACATATTGTTATAGTCAACTTTTTGGACAGCATTTGGCGGATGGTGGTCGGTGGTTGGTGTCTGTAACAAATGGCAGGTGGTGACATTTTGCATATTAATGCCTTGTTCAATAAAATCAATATGAAACTTATCTTTTTTAGAGCTTGGGTGGATAAGCCAAGGTTTGAGAGTCAGAAGTTCAAGCAGACAAGTAAAGAGCAGTCCTCAACTGGGAAGAAATCAGGTAAGCTATAATTTGAATTGAATTCAGCCATTCTTTTGACCTACCTCCCCACTTGTGAATTTTGTTTAGACGAGGGGATGTAAGGGGGAGGGTCAAAAGGACTATTTTGGGACATAAGAATACTTTATTTAGGAAGGAAATGATTCTGAAATATGATTTAATTTCATGAACCACTATGCATTGTAATATATCTGGTGAATCCAAAAAGTAAATAGAATAGAATTTTATTAGTAATCTAGATACATGTATAAGCTATTTTATTTGTCTTTTTGTCAGTTCATCAGTTCCACATTAAATAATTCACTTGTATCTCTTTTAAAGTTTCATATTTTTGAATTTCAATATGAATACATTATTGCATTGCTATATACTTTTAATCAATGTTTCATTCAATAGATGTCACTGTGACTATGAACTATTTTCATGTGCAGGTACAAATACAACAACCCCTGGTCAGAACAAACCACAAAACAAACCAAAACCTCCACCAAAGGACCCTGCGGCACTTCATCCATCATGGCAAGCTAAACGGAAACAGAAAGAACAGCAAAAGATACAAATTAAACCAACGAATGTGAACAAGATCACATTTGATGATTAATTTGCTTGTATGATAGAATATTTAGGACAGAATATGAAAATGCACTCTGTGGTCGTATATTGCAACTCATATACATTATGACAAAAGATGTACATTGTGACAGTACAACCCCGGGCAGTACACTGTGACAGAATATGTACTTTGTGACAGTACATGCGTATTTTGATAGAATGTGTACACTATATAAGATTCTATACATTATGACAGAATATGTATACTGTAAAAGAATATGGTACACTATGACAGAATTATGAATGTGCTAGAACTTATTGTGATGCCCCAGTTTCAATATTGTTCTCACTGTCATATTATAACAGACAACATCTTACATATCTAGGAACCAATTAAGGTGGCCACTGTAAGTTTGGAACTGTTTTCACATAGTGTTAAGGTTAATTATATAGATAACTAACTCTACTTGTCTTACCTTAACACTGGAACATTTCATATGTTTACAAGTGTTGATAGTTTTAACATTTTAAAGTTTTCTATTGGAAAGTGGTGAAGGGATTAGAATGAAAGATATTAACAAAAGACAAATCGATCCATGTTTGTAAGATACTACACAATTTGATTATCCGATCAAGATTTGCATGATTGAATCAAGTAATTTGAATCATTAAATAAAAGACGAGAAGTATATCAAACTGATTCACCTTAATTTGGTTTGGTTGGCTGCCTCAGGCTATTCACGTATTTGTGGCAATCTTGGTGAAAACCTTAACTTCAAATTAACATTGTTAGTGGCCCTTTCTTAAATATCCCAATATACGTTACCATAAAACATCCATGCATAATATCTATTACAATCAACAATGTTGTTTCCATGGCATTGTTTTGATTAATTGTTTCCATGGTATTCATGGCCATTCAAACCATAGTAAAGTACACATTCAAATGTACATGTTTTATAGAGAAGTCTCTGTGATTTCATTTTCACATACTGTGCCTGAAGTAGCTGATTGTAAGTTCAAAATGACTTACGGATGATGCTACTACTATGGGAACCATATTTAATAATATTGACTTAATTCAGGTGACAATTGCTATGCAGTTTATATCTAAGTTAAACCACTTCACGGTGAACTTGTAATCTATATTAATATATACCATGGAATATTTCTTGGAAGAAAGATTTCCCAGGATAATAAACAAATATTCCCCTACCATACCCGTCAAAGTGGTTTTGTATAGCACTTAAGTAGAAAATTGGAAACTGTTTGTATTATAGAAGTGTGGGCCAAGAAATGATTGGTTAAGCAAACATTTGCTGAAGTGACTTCAGTTTTCATTTATGTTAAAATTTTTCAATTTATTTCAATTAGCGTCGGTTGCCAAAAGAACTTTATATTTCACCTTATTGTCGAGAATCGCATTGTTCGTTCCTAACCTGTCTTTGTCAGCGTTTTATTTAACTAAGCTAGATACAACTATATATAGCCAGAATTGTTGATTTGATGTGTACATTGGACCAAGTTTTAACCCATGGTTATGTTTCATTAATCCCTTATTTGAGAATTGAAACAAAAATTGGCAGATGATTGGAGATTTCAGGATCTTTGGAACAGGATTTCAAGTTTTCAAGTATGCTTTGAAATATGAATTGGTCACTGTTAACAAACAACGTTAACATCCCTAACAAATCATTGAAAACTGAAGTGGGAAAGCTCTATTTATTATGTCTATACCAAGAAGTGGCGACTGTGATGCATTATTATAACCATCATTTTTGTGACTGGTGTTCGTCTGCGTCTGTAACACATTGTCACATATTTGTAAACAACTTGCAATATCTGTTTAAATGTATTGTTTATTTTTGTTTTTTTGCACCACCGGAAGAGGTGACATATTGTTATAGTCTCCAATTTTTATGTGGACGTCGATCGGCATCCGAACAAATTTTAGGTGGTGACATTTTGCCTTGTAAATTTATGTTATTATAGACGAGTAGGGATTTGCCATCTTTTTACACCCGCATTGTTCTTTATTACATCCATGGGTACAATTGATATAGGAATTCTTACTTTACTATGTTTCTATATATGATCCATTGTTCACATTTACATTTAGATCGTTACCTTACTTACTATTTGTTTTACTTAGTTAGGGCCAGATAGGTATCAGAACAAACCAGGACAATAGTTCCCGTCGGACTAAATTCTCTCTCACATCAGGGCAAAACGTCCCACGCTTACAATATAAAAAAAGATGAAGAAATTAATATTTTAGCAATTTTCTCATTTATTTCATGAACAGCAGTTATGACCATCAAAATAAAATACGAATGAAATTTGGACTGGAAACATTGTTTTATTTTTTCAAAGGTCTCAATGAAGGGACCTGCTTACGGTCCGGTTGTTGAGACCTTGAGGCTAAGGATTTATAGAGTTTGTTTGAGTCCTTTAACATACGCACGATACCTGGCCCTGGTATAGATGTCGCTGTAGTACCAGTGAAGATAATATTAGGGGAAGAACCCTGTAGTATTGCACGGTTTGTATTTGTACGGGTCATAGGAGACGCAAAGAATGTTGAACCAGAGTTCATGATTGGTGCTGGGGGTAGGGCCCCTACACTGTTGGGGGTTTTCCCACTTTTAGTCCGGGCTAATAAACATTGAATTTCAAAATTTTTCCTACCAAGTTCTTTATACAGTTTGGCGTAGTCATCCTTAATTTTGGAACATTTGAAGTGGTCGTCTTTCAGTTTTGTGTATTTGGAGTTAAGTGTTTCGTACCAATCTTTCATTTGGGCCAGCTCACGTTGTGTATTTGACTTGGATTCAGATACCACTTTCAGTTTGAATAATCCGTCGGATATCTTAGCTTTATAGTCTTGAATGTCGTGGTTAAGGGCGCTGATTTTAGTTTCGTAATTTTTCCGAGATTGCTGGATGTCCTCATTGTTATTTTTTATATTTTTGTTTTCGTCTGTTAGTGTTTTGACCGTTTCTTCAGATTCAGCTAATTTATCCTGGGCGTCTTTCAAACGTTTTGTGAATAGATTAATTTGTCTGTTTTGGTCCACACTAAGCTTGTTCAATGTCTTGTTTTCCTCGACTTGTTCTCGCAAAGATTCGCCAAGCTTTGATTTGGAGTCGACCACCTTTTCATACTTGTACTGTATATTGCGAAGTCTTGTTTTTAATTGCTCTATTTCCGATATGTACTCGTCGCATAGTTCACATTTTTCCGTTTTGCGTTTGATTTTCTTTGGTAGTCTTTCTACAGTAACTGCGGGATCAAACATAATACTGACCCTTTGCGGGGTCTCAATCTCTCGCTTTATCAAACTCGGATTTACATTTCTGAAGTCATTTTCGGGCTTATGAAAGGTTGATTCATTCTTGTCTGTTGTACCTTTCCTTTGTTCTTCTTTCTTGTCATTTTTAACTTTATTAGTCATTTGATTGTCACTTTTAACATGTCGTTCAGTGCCATCGTTTTGTGAATCTCTTTGGTTCTTCGGACTTTTGTCCTCTCCGTGTTTATCGTGTGGTTTTGTCGCAGCATCTTCTTCGTCATCATCCTCCTCTTCTTCATCAGTGTCATGATTGTCATCGTGTATATTTGGTAGTTTAAGAAGGTGTTTCTTTTTAACCTTCCTACCAACAACTGCATTTTTATCCAGTTTATTGTTATTTAACTTCAAGATGGGGAGATTAGTGACATCTTTTGTAGAATCAATTTCTTTTGTCGGTTCATCTAATTTTTCACTCACCACAATCTCAGGTAATTTTAGGGATCCCTGCATTGCATTTAATTTGTAATCCTTAGAAATCTTCAATTTTCGGCCACATGATTCAGACGGCTTTGAATGTTTCAATATCTGTGTAAATCAGTGTTATGTGACATTTAGATAGTAGATATATTATCATATCAAATTAAATATTTGTCGTCCAGTGTGTGATTGTTGCTTTAATGTCAAGTATCTTTATCTCCATTAGTCGCATCGATACTAGAGCTGGTTTGCGCTACTGGTGTCTGAGGTCAACATCCCGAATGTTGTTGAAGGTCTCATTTTAATTGCTTTAGTCTGAAACAAAAGAACACAATATTAGAATTGATTTTTGATTATCATTGTTTGTCTTACATTGGCAACATTTAAGTTCGATGCGGATTGTTTGAACCCAGATCTACACGTTATTCATTGTTTTGGCAAAATGTACATTTTGAATTACCTCTCCTAACTGCCGATCTTGTTCATTTGATTTAGTTCATCATTTCCCTTCATTAAAATTAATCGCACGAGTCTTTTCCGAGTTCTAAAGTTCACGTGTCATATTTTTATGATGTGTTTCCAATCGATCGGACTTGAAATCCTAAAAATAGCCTCTATTTGGTGTTTCATGGCGACTTTCACCCGAATATTACTATAGACCAAGGTACTTAGTCTCCAATTGGTTAAGATTGAGTTTCACTGATTCAATAAATAAGTTCATACATATTTGTATTGAAGTCTGAGGATTGAGGTTTAGCTGTCAGTTTTATCCCGATTTGTCTGCATAACTGAATTAATGAATTCTATACCATTATAGTGCAAAGTCACGATATAGATTAGGACACTCATGTCTATAATCTGATTAAAGAAATACAAAGGGAAACATTTACACACATTATAGTATTATGTATTAGCCTGGTAGCCTAACCCTTTCTCTTTGCTTTGACTTTGTGTAGCTGAATATTCAGTAATACATATACACGTAATAATAACACCCTTTCTGATATGCTGATTTTGCTTCTGAGAGAGCTTTACGTATCTCCACATTTCAAACCATGAGTGCTAGATTGGTCAATTATAATCCATAAAAATGGAGACCAGTGTAATTTAAATTAAGACTTGCTTCAACCCCTTTTGAGGTGAAGTAAAGTGTTATAGAAGAGGCTATGGAAGCTTACGGTAAATTCTAAATGAACCTTTGTATGCGGAATACCCTTTGCGTTAGTTTGACTTCATTTCTTAAAAGAGAGCTTCCTAATAATTAGACTCTGAGTGCAGGATATATCAGTATATGTATAACAATATATATCAAATGTATTACGCATTAGTACTCTCTGCGATGGACTTTTAATACTTCGAGAGTAAGAGGTCTCACAGCTATGATCAAGTAACATAATATATCACCTCAAGAATTTCCAATCACCTTTGTACATATTACGCCATTTATTCAAGCCCAAAATTCAAACATTTCGTCTATATTTATATCGATATCATTTATTTCTTATTGGCAAATGGTTTCTGTGAGTTTGTTAGACGTCAACTTTTCCCGTATAAGCTGCAATGATTAAGGAAATCGTAGACGTATTTTTATTGACTTTACATTAATGATAACGTAACTGAACAAGAACGGACAAAGGGCAATACAATATTGTAAATACTAGACCAATACAAATACCGGAAGAGTGTCAAAACGACATCACCTTTTTCTGTAAAATTAAGCCACTGGCAATGATATTAAGAGGGAATTATAAAGATACTATTTCTAATATCTTTCAAAACGCAATGTCCCTTTGACTCCAAAATTCGACGCCGACACGACGCCAGGATATGATGCCGTTTCTCGACACTGAATCATCATCAACACGACGTCGAAATAACTATTCAAGAATGCAGGTGTAAAAAGATGGTTAACAAAATTTTTCCCAGAACTGAGGTCCAGTATTGTATCATTTTGTCACATTGTTTTTACCATAATTTCATTTATACAGTTTTCCCTTTGAATGGATAACCTCGAAAGTTGTTACCTTTGTGGCATCGTGAGATATCACAGCCTTCTCTCAGTGTCCTTCTAGAATTCTTGTGCATAGCAGAGATGGTCTGAGTATCAGAATGCCTTTGTGGTACAATCTTTAGAATGTGCAATGTTTACACAATTACAATTGCGTATTTCGTTTGTAAATTAGAATGAACAATGCAAGTAAATAAAGTAGAAAGGCTCAATGAAGCCGGCCTTCGCATTGGCCTCTTCGATTCCGGAATTAGGTTCCGGTCTTTTCATACATGATCTGAATCGGATCTCGCCTTTGCACTCAGCCCGTGGACCCATTTGTTCAAGATATATCAGGGATTGGGCAAGAGTAGTCACGTGACGTTATGGAATATAGGTCGCTGGACATGATAAACCCAGCAGTAAATCTAAACCCAATGTACATATTTACCCATAAGAAAAAAGCTATAGAGGTTCCAGGGGCATTCAAGTCGCCATCTATGATTTTAAAATCCTTGATATCGTGAAAACAGGATATTTTGAAGCATTATTAAAATCGCTCAGATTTCCCAAGTAGCAATAAAGCAAACCACGATATCTCAAAGGTATTTACATGTTTAAAATGTATATTGATAGGCGCGTGGGATCGATTGAAAAATTGTAGGATTATTGAATATATTTGTTTTGATAATTATTTCACCACCACAAGTGGAAATATATTGTTTTAGTCTTTTTTTGTGGCGGCGTTCGGTGCCTGACATTCGGTGTCTGTAACAAATGGCAGGTAGTTACATTTTGCATATAAGTGCCTTGTTATATTTTATTTTGCTTTATATTGTTAAATAATATTGATTTTGCTATAAATAAATATTATAATAGCAAACCTGATTGAGTCGTAGGTAACATTTCGATTTATATTGGTTTGCGATAAAGATTTATGAAAGTAATTTAATTGGGGGTAAGGGGCAACTGATTTTGACTGGCTCGCATGGGGCTAAATCGATTGAAAAAACATTTGACAGAATAAGTAAAACCATGGGCTCTACCAAAAGTGTTTTGTATAATTTGCTGTATTACTAACATTTGATATTACCCCAGAATCCAGAATTCATTACATTTCATCATTAATCGATATATTGAAATCAATTTGATGTTCTCTTCGGTAAGGTCTATGCTAGCTACAAGCCATTGAGACCCCCACTACTCAACAAGTTTGGGAAGGTGTGTAGTCCAGTAGGGGAGGGGGCAGGGGGGGGAGGGGTTCACGGGGACTAGATAAAGTCGCCACTTGATACCACGGAGATCCCAACATACAAATGCATTTCAATTCTAAGACAAATTCCACAATATCATGCAACTACTTACGGGGACCATTTTGTGACTCAAAACTTTCCAGTCGAATTAAAAAAACGCGAGGCCTATCTGATTTTTAGTCCCATCACTGGTTGCAAGCCATCAACCATAACGAGCACAGAAATAACATTTTAAGCCTTATTTCAACTTATTTCAACTTTATGACTTGCGTCGAATCTCTCAAACTCTCTTGATGATTTATCATATGCAACCCAAAGTTATCGCTATATCTTGAAAAATACTGGTTCAATTATGTTCATATTTTCAGGGAATAAAGAAGAGACTGTGTATGTATAGCTCCTGTAAATGGTTAGTTGTAAAACATGATGCCTTGGACACCTGTTCAAAAGACAGTTGTACTAGGAAAATACGAAAAATGCAGTCAGGGGTGACTGCAACCTAAAAAAAAACAAACTTTCTAACCATAGTGTTTTGGCTCTTCAAATTCGGCACAAATCATCTTCATTCACTGTATGATAAATCTGTAGAGTGAAATCAAAATCACTTCAGGGACTTTACAGTCATGGTTGAAATGCTTTCAAATCGCAGTCAAACGCCCTGGTTCAGGGAGACTTAAGAAGGCATTTTGACCATGACTGTAAAGTCCCTGGAGTGATTTTGATGAAACTCCACAAATTCACCACACATTGAATGAGGATAATTTGTGCCAAATCTGAAGTGCCAAAACACCATGGTTAGAAAGTTATTTGGTTTTATTGCTGTGGCTGTCACCTCTGACTGCGTTTTCATGTTTTCCGAGAACAACTGTCATTTGAGCAGGTGTCAAAGGCATCAGGTTTTACAATTTACTGAAAACAGGAGCTAAACATACACAGTCTTCTTTCTTTTCCTGAAAAATGAACATAATTGAATTAGTATTTTCCAAGATATAGTGATTTTCCATTCGCGTTTTTCGTATTTTGCTAGTACAACTGTCTTTTGAGCAAGTGTCCAAGACATCATGTTTTACAACTAACTAACAACAGGGGCTATGCATACATAGTCTCTTCTTTCTTTCCTGAAAATATGAACATAATTGGATGAGTATTTTCCAAGATATAGCGATTTCCTTGGGTTGCGTTTTTTTTAACACCCTGCTTGTATTAGTCTTGCATCAAGACTGTGGACCCCTTATCTACTACACCAACACAAGTAACTAGACTACGTATAGATTCTATAATTAAATAAATGTATGATAGTTGTTTTACAAACATTCTTTCACTCACTTATAGTGTCAATTCTTCAACCGCATATTATTGTGATATATGGCGTCTTTGATCCTTTCCCGAAACCAAGCAGTATATCTCCTCCGATCATCAGTTTGATTTACTTTTAACTCGAAATCCTATGTTGCATTTTGTTAGGTTATAAAACTAGATGAAATGCTATATACCAATTGACATGATTAAGTACTTATTCTGTTTTTATTGTGGTCTGATGAATGAATGATCTTGAGGTTTATTCGATGACTTCACTCGTCGCTATGTTACCTCTTTCTAAGACGTCTTTTCAAATGTGTTTACCAATCAAACAATGAATTCTAAAAATGACGTTTTCTATGTTTGATAAATGTCATATCTTAAAAAGAACTTTTGAAGTGGATGTTATTCGATTATACGAAAGTTTATTTTGCTTTCTGTGACGAGGGGTTCGAATTACCAAAAGAAGTTTGAATGCAATTCATTAAATGAATACTCGACAATGTCCTGGAACATGATAAACTATAAAAGGACTTTGAACAAAAAATAAACGCAGTTAAAAATAGCCTTGCTTATGTGAACTTTAGAAAGAGTATTTGTTGGTGGTTACTTTATTTGTTACCTTTGATAACATATATTCTGAAGAATTAGTTCTCTGAGTACATTTAGTCCAATTGCATGTTATGTTGACATCGACCCAAGTCGGAAAAGCTATTGTTGCCCTTAAAGCTATTATTAAAGACCCCGTGTAACGTTAGAAATAGTTTAATCATTCAAATATTACTTTTAATGACTTGAAAACCATTTGAGAGATATTTAGAAAAATATGACTAGTGGAAAAAATTGTTCATCTTACAATTTTCAAATATTTTTATTTCCCTCTATATATTTTAGAATCAAAAGTTAAGATTTTTAGATCATCATTACTAATTAATAATGTATGTCCGTAACAACTAAAATTGAATTTGAAATAAATTCACAATTTTTGAACAAAAAGTCCTTCAAAATCAACTTTTTCACCTAGCACATAACATTGGGAGGGAAATAATATGAGTCAAACTGGTTTAAACTTTACATGGAACCTTTAAAGGATTACGTGTTAACCCAATAAAAATATTTATCTAATAGACATTGCTACGTAATTAAAAATTGTAATTACCACAAGTACTTTCACACTTTTTAGAAACGGGAGTCTAACCTTATTGTCTTTGGTTTATTCCAAAATGTTTATTCAAAAATGTCAGTCAAAATACGTTTAGACCCCCCGCCCTCTACCATATTTTCTGACGCCCATTCGCGTTACATGTGCTACATGTTAATTCTAGCAATCGCTTGAAAATAGCAGAAAGTGTAATTTTCATCATATTTGAGACCGATTTTCTACCACAGGCACTTCAGCGTTTGAAAATAAACTGTTTCAAACCTGACATCTATAATCAATTGCAGACGTTATAATTTGCAGATTGAGACATAAAAATCTGCAAATAAAAACCCAAAATCAAAATTCAGGTAGAGAGGACACGTGGGTTAAACCTGAGCAGCACATACACCCAAATTTCCAGATATTGTAAGTTATTTAATTTGGAGACATATCATACGAATCTTAGTAAACGTGTGAAAGAAATTAAAATATGGGTACTGTACTTTTCCGTTGGCTATCAAAAAAAACTCTTAAGCAAGAAATGCCCGTTACATTAACAATGCAACAATGACACAGTAGAAGTTTTTCCTAAAACCAAAAAGCAATGAGACATATGGAATGAAAAAATACTAATTTGTTAGAACACCCAGTCTTCCGGAAAACAATGATTCGTTTTAATAATCTTTTAAAATGTATGGTCTGAAAATATCGGCATGTTTGTGGATCCCGGTGGAATTCAAAAACCACTCTGGGGACTTGAAAGAGACACTCGAATCAAAATAGAAAACTTCATCGCCATTCAGGCGAATAATTTAGCAATACACAGAAGTTTAAGTCACCATATGTCGGGTCTCCTTTAAACAATGGCCGAAGCAGGATTAAAGATGTTCCAATGAGATACCACAAGGCAAATTGACAGATTAGGAAGTCGTCAATACAAACTAGACTATATTAATGTAGAATCTGTCATATAGATGATTTCAATATCTGTTCTGTGCAATCTCGACAGCGATGGAAAATTTAAAATGTAGAAACGATAACGAAGTAGAAAAAACTGTTCTTTTACCTGAACATTAATAATAGTGCATTATGGTATGAGTCAGTGTACCTTTTGCATTCGTGTTTTTAACTAGACTGTGCGCGGGGTAGTATTCATGAGTGCCAGTATGAACCAATGAAATTCTTAAATTGAAACAGTCTTTGAAATTTTGCCTTTTATGGTTCTAGCTTTGAAGTAACTATTTATGTTTTCAAGAAAAAAGTAAACAGTAGATCTAATATTCATTTTAATCAACCAGATACCGAACCATTCCGAGCCGTTGTGGTATCTACACCCCCAACAAAAGTATGGCAATATTCAACTCCTACATAATGGTCCATGTGTTGTTTAACGGGGAGTGGGGTGTCATGCATTTTGAGGGAAGTGTATTGTCAGGCTATACGTCAGATGAAAGCATGACTCCCAATCATGATTATCATCATTAATTCTCTAAGCACTTTTGTTTTGACAGTCATGGCAATTACAATATTTTCCCGGTGATTTAGTTACATTTACTAGATACCTGTATGTGATATACGAGCGGTGCAATTAGCGATATTTTGTAATGAAAGGTATAAAATAACCTGTGACTTCTCAGGTAGCCGAGTATGTTATCAAGCCTGCTATTGTTATTAGTTAACTACTCTTGTAGAGTTAGCCTGTCATTTCTGTCGTCTATTTGTTTGACAATAAAGACTCATATGCGCGCGCCTTGCCTTGGAAGTTGTTGCTCGTTATGACTATCGTCTCTCATAGATAGCTACGACTACGCAAACCACTGATCGCAGCCTGCTTCCCCAGGTTCTTTCAAGTATTGCTACTAGTTATAAATAGAAAGAGATGTGATGAGTATCAAAATGAGTATGATACTCTGATTAGAACCGTGATACCATTGCCAGAGAACGCCACTTAGCAACTCGGAATGTGTGACAATAATACATAAAATGAATGTAGATATAATTGCCATTATGGGTCGCTAAATGCGAATAGAATTCGAATAGATACGAGATAGCTAGAGCTACTCTAACTACTGTCACCTGAGAGAAATCAGTTAGTTCTATTGTTGGTTACCCACTAGATGATATTATTGTGTAATATCAGCAATAGAACATCAGTTATCATCATCACTAATAGGATTCATAAGTAGCTCTTAACACACTGCCTCAAATGGTACCGTGGAAATTATTAATAATTACGAAAATCCACGTGCTTTATACTCGTTTAGATATCTTTATTACCTATTATTTATCAAAGGATCGCAGGATTTTTTGATATAATCATAGAATGGCGTATTGAAACTATGTATACACGTTACTATATACCATACCCATAACAATTCAAAATATATTTTTTGCGAATCAAGGTCAATCGCATTTAATAACTTTGAATAGGCAAGCTCTCTTCATTGAAGTCTCTAATGATTGAAATAAATATTGTTCAAAATTGAGATAAATAATATGCCATCTTGAAGATGTAATAAATATTAGTATTGCACCCTTTGAATTTGAGCAGATGTTTTGCCATTTTATGGCTAATCTTCCAATGTCAAAATAATACATCAATGACTTTTTCATTATTTTGAATGAATGCATGATTGGCAAGTCCACTTGAGCCATGCTTAGGCAAGATAAAAACCATCATTTGGTTACTGGACATCAATTACAATTTTACTCTCACAAGACATGTGACTGTAAGACTCTTTCAATTCAAGTCAAGTACATGATTCAAGTAAGATATGTAACATATTGCAAGTCTGAGTATTTCAATTTTTGATAACTTTTTATCGGGTGGCAGAGTCGGCAAAAGTTTTCTTAGTTCTGCAAAAGCGACATTAAATGCCTCCACCCGTATTCTTTCCCGAGTCGCATGCGCCGTTCGGTATTTTTGTGTAGCCCTGCGTCTCCTTCGTCTTTCTTCACGTGACAAATTTTCCTGATTTGATTGGTTGTTTCTTCGACGTCCAGATGTGGTCGAGTTTTGTGTTTGTGAAAGTTCCATGTTTTGAGTTAGACCATCCTCAGGAGTGTTGGTGACGTTTGACATATCTATCATGTTGCTTAATTCTGTGTGCATCGTTTATGAATGGTTCGATAGATGTCGCACTTAGTCACTTCCGTTTTGCTTGGTTGCTTCCCAACGGTCTACTGAAGTTTATTTGTTATATCTGAAATTAAAGTAGAACAGAATAATCACTATTAGCAATAATCTAAGTTATTTCAATATCGCTAATTAAGATTTATATTATACGCATCTCAGTTTGTAATCCCAAAGGTGCCATTCCGGTGAATTTGTATTGGCGCATGTACCTCAGCAAGACTGATATCTGATCATGGATTGTATCCACGTATACAGGATCATTACACGACCTAATAAAGATCATTCACTGATCATATTAGCTTATTTTATCCCCAGCTCTTGTAAATATTGTCGGCTCGAGACGGAAACCTAATCAAGTATAATTCAATTTATTGACAAAATTGTCTGATAAAGCAAATTCCAATAGAAAAACTAACGAGGTAAATAGCAAAGAAATTAAATGAATAATTTGATGGATTATTGTAGATAAGTATCCTCTAGGCATGTTACAACCAGATGAGGTTCCGTGGGTTTTATTGTCCCTATACACCGATATAGAAAGATAATAAAATGAAGTTAACGTCGATCGTTCCCGAGCAATCCAACAATAAGACCCTCGAAGATCTGGACAGAGAGAGTCATCAAACACTGGCCTTCATACCATTCTGAACTGAGATTCTGAAAGTCGTGTAACAAACCCTACAAAACTTCACATACACTTTTCACTCTTATCAATTTATAGTCAATGATGTTCGGTGCCCTGGGTACCGAAGAAGGATTTTCACATGTGTTTATGTTAAATCTTGTCATTTGCAAATATGTGATAATGTCATGATAGACTATTATCCATTTTAACTTGTATTGGGTTTGTAAATTCTGGTTCATTCTCCAAACGTCACCACACGCACATTTTTTATAAAATAAATAAGATACAAAATGTGGAATGTCGTGGAAAATAGAATGTTGGGTCAAATATATGAACCAAATTAAAAATATGAAATATAAATGTCAACATATATAGGCTTAAGAATTTGAAATATTGCCCTGGCAACCTTGCCGCATTTTCTCACTTAAATATCAAATAATCATATTAAGTATTGAAAATAAGAAACTGAGACCAAGAGCTAGTCTGAAACACATGTGCTTTCCGTAATGTGTACGGGTGACTTAAAAAGCTTTATAAGAGAACTACAAACACGTACACCTGCTCCTTGGAAAAAGCCTTTCGGGGAGATATTGAAACGAAAGAATAAAGTGGCTCATCGTACGAGGCTAATTGCTAAAATCGCTTTTTAAGATTTTTATTGGCTGATTACTTTTTGAGATCTATGTAAACTGAAATAAATGAATGTCCAAAAACAAATTCGGATTTCTTTTCAAATGTTGCCCATGACTCTTTTAGACTGCTGCGCTGAAATCATTGCTACGTTGTACCCCGAAATCATCGCAACGATGGTATCGTCATACCTAGACCACCAGTAATACAAATTCTATAAACATATAATTCCATTTTTCTAAATTGTATTAGACACTTAAAGTCCTTGAATTCGATACAATTTGACGTGTGCCTGTCGTTGTAAAACCAGAAAATGATACATTCATAGTAAAATATACAATCTCTTAAGAGACGTCATGTTTGATGGTGTAAAAGCCAAAGTTTACACTTTTAATTAGGACGTTGATGAGCACAGTAATTGAATCTAGCATGGCGTTAACATGTTCTGTCTTCCAAATTCACGTATTTTTCAATGAACAATTGGGGGTGTTAAGTCTCACACGTTCGAGACGCGTGCCTTCAAATACCGGCAACGTTCAAATTTTCTTGTCACCAGTTTTCATGATTTTTAGACAGGTATTTTTTGTAGGCTCAAGTTACTTTAACTGAAAACGTTTTGTCTTGCCCGGGGAAGGCCAGCTAATTAGCGCAAAAATCAAACTTTTTGTACCCCTCCAGAACCCCTTATTATAACCATACAAAGGCGATTTTATAATTACTTGATATTTGGTATCATTTTACTGGTGAACGTCTGCAGAAGTAGAAAATTAATTTTAAAATGATTTATCACCCACAGCAAAAAACTAAATTGAAGCTTTTATGTGTAATGAATTTTAAAGTAACTTAATAAGTCAATCTATGAGAGTTTACCACGTATGATTATACTTTTTTTTTAATAAAATGTGTTGTAATTACTAAATATGCTAAAAGGATGTCAGATTAGAACAGGTTGAAGTAAAAAAAAGTTAAGTGTCTACAGTACTGGCTGTACACAAACTGTTGTCATATTACTGGTTGTAAATGTCGTGTCAGATTGTGAAAATACGATATTCTAAAAGCATTTTGATTGTGTTGTCTCCTACTAATGTTTTTCAGATATAAAAATAAAGATTACAGTCTATATTACAATCTAAGTGGTGTCAAACTGTGTTGAGAGTTGGTCTTTTGAACAATTTAATACTATTCAGACCCCCCCCCCCCTTTCTCGAGGAAATCCATGGGCGTATTGCCAGTTGCAAAATATATAAACATAAAGACGTGTATTAGGATGAGTTAGTGATAGCCTATTACCCGGAAACTGGAAAGTCTGTTAGAGCTACCAGGCTATAATATGACTGGTCTAGGATCTTCTTGGAAAATTATTTACATTATCTAAATCAGTGTTCAAAAATATCCTATCAATTAGGTGCTGTTCAAAAAGTTTGCAGCAAAACCATAATAGTAAATACATCCTTTTTTAACAGAGTATCATCTCTTTTCTTGAAATGAAATTATATAATTTTGGGGCTATTTGCTTAAAATAGACACAACCAAACGTTTCTCCGCGAGGTACACGAATCCCGATAAGAATTCACACCACAAAGAGGAATCACCAACTCGACTATAAGCCTTAAAAGTAAATTCACGCTATTTCAATCACACATGCTTATAATTCAAAACACAGCGGGTGGTTGAATTCATCTTTTTAGAAAATCAAAATAATAAACAAACCAAATAACCCATATGAAACAAATTTCCCTAATAGACTGTAAGCCATTCTGTAGAAGTGCTCTAGAAATGCAACCTTCCTTACATGAAAGGTTACACATTCCAACCTATTTCAAACCATCTGTATGATTATACTGGACACTTTCTGGGTAGTTGGACTTTCTATAGGGGTGGCAGACGGCCCTCAGACCAATTAATACCCCTACCCCCAAAAAACCATGGGGGTACTTTAATACCACCCAATAAAAAGAATACTAATGCATGTCAGATATTCATTGTTTTATATTGGGTAGGGCATGTTATGGTTAATAAGTGCCAGAAATTTCCAATCTCTAACTTATATGGTTACCATAGAAACAGTATTTATATCTCGAAATATTCTCAATTTGACCCCCTCCCAAATGTGTCCCTTTGTTCTCTAAGTGAAATATTTCAAAATCTGTTTGGATTTTATGGCTGCTACTTTGTCAAAATTTGTAATATTATGTCTATATTAACATTAAAACACTTAAAAGTTGATATAATGATCTTATAAATCAATAATATTTATCAAATATAGTCACACATAGCTGCTTTCTGGGAAAAGTGGGCGTGGCACTTTTTGGTACTTGTGCGCTTGTTGCAGCATCAAATGAAAAATACAGATTACACTAACAATAATTGACATTTAATTAGCATCTACTAATGTTGTGTAACATTGTAATATGTTCATTATCATTATTAGACACTTTAAATATTTTATATAAGTGTTATCCTGACCCTTCCCTATCATAAGTCATCAATGGTCTAATGAACTTTTAGTTTAAGTATTATAGGGTCCTCGGTCTTTTAAGCCTGTCAAGAGTCAAGTCTTACTTATTCATTGACTTGTTCCTAGAATATGAATGGATAAGTTCAAGTCATCTAGAGCTATTCAAGTCATCTATGCTTCTTCAACAATGTTCAATATTTAGAACCATTCTACCATGTTTACTGCAATTGAAAAGTAATGAACAGTTCAATCCTTTTGGTATGATATTTGATGCTAGTGTGAATTGCATAACATTTATGATTAAACTTAAATGAACTAATCTAACTCTGGCTATTAACCCTTCCCTAGTATCCTTCACATAACCTCTAAATCATCTTCATATCCATGGCCTAAATGGGGAAGGAGGGAGGGGTTACAAATAGTGACCGAGGATAATTTGAATCAAAGCAAGAATATGTAATACTCAAAACTAGAAAAATTAGAAACCATTTATACCCTTCCTAATATTTTGCCTAATACATAACACTAAAATCTATTTTGCCAGACACTTGCTGATTCTTTTATCAATACCTCAACATCAGGCAATGCATGATCTATCCAATGGATTAAAGATTATACTTGATTCTAATTAATTTTTCGTATGAATTGCATAGAGCATCATTTTGCAGTTATGATAAAATGCATCCATTCATTCATTGGCTCTAGTTAACAAAAAAGCTATTCTCTGGAAGGTACAGTATAACTTCTATTACCCTGCGTGCAGAGTCTAGTTAAACTACAGACGAAGCTCTCTTTTAAGAAGTGAAGTCAAACAAATGCAAAGGGTAAATTTCTATTAGTATTTAGCAAAATAATTGCAAGATAAACAATTTACACATGTTTCTGATATGCTGTATTTTCAATGATTCCTTCAATAGTGGTTCGGTATATGTTTTTGAAATACTTCATATAATTCCTAAACAAATCTGTTTAGTGTATGAAATCAAAAAAGTAGATACATTTGTCCCATACTTGGACGTGTTTCAGATACATATAGCAGGTTTATAAATACTTATATTTTCATCAGCGGGCAGATATAGCTAATGTCCCTGCCTGAGAGGGCAGATATATTACACCTGCCCACTAAGTCATAATCATCATTTGTGTATGATTAGCAATGAGGGAAGTAGCATACTTAATACATATGTTAATAATCAAGGATTCGAGAATATGTGGATGAATACTTAAAAAACAGGAGAATCCTCCTAAGGCCAAGAAAACAAAATTAGTCATGAATACATTCATGTGGTTGTATTCTTTCTAACTCTGGCCAATTGAACAATGTGAACCAGATAAGAAAGATTGATATGGGATAAC